TTCTGTTGCTTTGCCTCTTTTTTTCTCTTTATATTTTGTTGTTAGTTTTAGCCCATCAAAAACAGAGAAAAAGAGAATCACAGAGGGAGAAAGACTTGATTGGGGGGAGACGCAGCAGAAAGAGCCTTTTGCATGTCTGTTTCTGATACCCTACGCGTATAGAGGGTATGCGTATTGGGATATTCACGAAAGGCTTTCACTTCCAGAAGGAAGCATCTCAAACGCATACCTTTAATACACAATCATTTTCTGTTTAGTTTCCTCAGTTTTGGGAGACTGATTTGTTGCCAGTTTGCTTCCCAGTTTAAGTGTTGGAGCTGCCAAAAACTATTTCAACTGTTCAACTATGAGATAATCAAATAGATCTTGCACTCCAATTTTCCCGATGATGATCGCGCAGCTGAAAGTGTATACAGACTTCGTTGCAGCCAAAAATTGCTTTCAAGTATTTCTTTTTATTTTATTTATTTCTTGTTGAGGTTCTTTTTGCTTATTTTCCAGCCTCTTCTGCTGGTTCTTTTTTCAGCCGCTTCTTGTGCTTGTTGTTAGAGATGCGCTTTGCGCTTTTTGCGGTTTCTTGGCCATGTTAATGACACTCACAGGCCCAGCAACAAAAACATGGAAAATATGGTGGCGGAAGCAGAGAGAAAAATAAATGTCACAGTAACACATAAAGGGGTGGGAGTACATATCGTACATCTAACACCTCTTCAAGGGCCCCCCTGCCTCCCTTACCGCCTCTGCCTCCCTCTGCCGCTAAGATCCGTCTCTCAATCCTCCCAAGACCCCTCCTGACACCATCTTCAACTACACACATACACTACTGGCCAAAATAATAAGTACACGCTTATGAGCTTTCTTTCACGTCCTATAAAACTTTTCTAGTAAACATAATTAAAAATTCAAATTTACTTTCAGTTTTCTAACCTACAATAGACTATAAAAATGTTTATCATAAGCATTTTTCATTTCAAATATATATTTTATGATCGATTAAACCTTAAAATCATAAATAAGGGCTGGCCAAAATAATAAGTACAGCAATTCTCCAAAGCGAAAAACTAAAAGCGTATCAAAATGTTTACACTTTTTTCTTATAATTTATAATCTTTTAATAGTATCCTATATAGCCACACTTATTTTGGATGATTTCGGCCATCCTTCTTGGCATACTAGCAATAAGTTTGGGGCAAGTCTCCACTGGATTCTCACACCACGTTTTTTGCACAAATTCTCCACAATTCTTTTTCTTTTCGAAAATAATTTTTACTAATTCGACGTTTTAAGTCACCCCAAAGGTTTTAAAATGAGTTTAAGTCAGGAGACTGAATTAGCCAAGCCATAACGTTTACATTTTTTCCCGTAAACCAAGCCTTCACCACCTTTGAGGTGTGCTTTGGGTAATTTTCCGGTAGAAAGACCCATCTCAAGGGCATGTTTTCCTCAGCTTAAGATTGTATAATAACTGTCAATATGTTTTTGTACCCGAATTGGATCACATGATTAGTTGTGTGATGTACCGGCTCAACGCCATGCCAAGAAAAATATCCTCAGATACCTATACATCAGCCTCCGTTCTTAACCGTTTTCTTTGTGTACCGGAAGTCGAATTCTTTGCCTTTGGGTCCTTGTATACATCTTCTGGAGTCATTATCAAAAGGATTTATTTTTGTTTCGTCTCTCAATAATATATTATTCCACTTCTAAGACCCATCTGACCCAGACCATGCCAAATGATTTTCAACGAGTTTTTGCTTCATCTTCAAAATTTTTACTCGGAGTAAGGTAACTTTTCGGACTATACGTGCTGTTAGGTCTATATATTTAAGTCTCCGACGAACCATCAGACCTGATTTTTCTTTCCCAATTTGAGCGTATTTGGCCTTGGAAGACATGAACTGATCCTTTTTTGCAAGACTGATGATGCGGGTGTCCGTTGTTCGTAAAGATTTCTTCTTCCATCCTCGATTTTCAATAAGCACTTTAGATTTGAAAGTATTCTGAACCAAAAATACCGATCGTTCAAGACTTTTCGCCATTTTCCCGGAGAATTTTCCTTTCTTTTTGAAGACTTATGGAAAACTTCCTTTCTTCAGGAGTACGGCCTATCTAAAGAATTTTTTTGACTCTCATGTACTTAAATATGAAGGAACTTAATAAAAAACAACAATCCTTTGACCAAATCCTTATCCAATCCTTTCAAATATATAAATAACACCAGTGTACTTATTATTTTGGCCAGACCAAAAATGCCCATTCTGCAAAAATGTATGAATAGAATTTTATTAAGATGGTTCCCCACTTTAATTTTTGATTTAAATAATTGGCAAGACTGTAACCTTTCCAAATATAAACAATTGGCATCCATACACTTACAAACATTCGAGCTATTCCATAACAAACTAGCACGACACCGATGTACTTATTATTTTGGCCAGTAGTGTACATATGTATGTATGTACATATGTATATGCTACACAATCCCCTTCAACATTCACCTGTAAACAAGTACAGTGAAAACTGCAACTCAGATAGAGTCGTTTTAGAGGAACTTTTGGTTGAGAAAACAATTAGAAAGGATCCCTGTAAGCCGAACATTGGGAATAAATTGTCCCTTCAAAAGAAACGCTATATAACTTTGATGAAATGATTATTATTCGATGTTTACGTATGTTTTCTAGCTGTATACTCGCATACAACTGTCTATATACTACCTACCCATCTATCTATCTGGCTCCTATACGTACATATCCCTTTGGCCGATGTTCTACTGTCCTTGCCTTGGAACACATTAACATTGGGCAGCTAAGGGCTCACCCCAAAATCCCAGAAGCACCATCCCATCGCATCCTCCAGCCTAACCCTCTGCCCTTCCCCTTTTCTAAACTTTCCTCTCCCTGTCGCTCTTCCTCCTCCGTCCACCGCCCTGCAGGCTCTTCACGTTGCCACTAATGGGACATTTGCAATTAAATTACTCGAATAAAGCATGTAAATTGCCAGTGAATGGAGGCGGCAGTGTGCTCCAACCCCCATCTCTGACACATAAGCACAGGAAGTACCTGTCCGTCCACCTACCTTCCTCTCTCTCTCTATATATATATTTACCCTGTTTCCCCCGCGTAGAGGTGAAAGTGCGGAGCCAACAGTGCGTATGTGTAATGTGCTTGGGCCTGGCTAAGTATGCTAATGCTAAGGCTACCCCCTCCCCCTAAGAACCCCAGCAACGACAACAACAACCAAAAATTAATTTAAATTAATTAAAATTAAAAATTTAAGTTTTATGTTTCCCAAATGCAGCAAGGTGGCAGATGGGTTTCCAAGATGGAAAGATTCAAGGAAATTGTAAAGTTTTAAATTCGAAAATGAGGGAAACTCGAAATAGTCCGAGTCACGAATGCGAGTGTACGAGCGGGTCCGGCATTACGGATGCCGGATCTCGCGCTGTTGTTTACCTAATCATTCATAGACTGCGGGGGGGTGTGTGGGGGTGGTGTTGTGGTTGAGCGGAACAGATAGAGCAACCTAGAATGAAGAGAGGTTGTGGTCCGTATGTCCTTCTGGCCCAACGACGACAGCTGCGAGAATGTTCCCGCAGAGTGAAACTCTCTCTCCAGCAGACACACGTTCTTGCAACATCCTTCACAAGGTGAACCAATCATACAAGGTAAGGCACATATTTCGTAGGTCCCTCTCTCTCTCTCTTTCCATCTCTGCATATCCGGCTTTTTAAATCCTGCGCATTTATGCTTAGAGCGCCAGAGAGACAGAGAGAGAGAGCAAACAAAAATTTCCCTCAGCATCAGCTGTTTTGTGGCGGAAAAGAAATATTTCCTACCAAACTGTTATACAGCCGTGACGGGCAATTCAAACGACTCCGCTTTAGGTTCATTGAACCTCATGTTGGAGCGCTTTGGTTGGAGCTCTGGTTGTTCTTTTTTTGCCCATTTTTTGGGGCCACCAATTACATTGCGGCCAATTCTCGGGGCTTATCTAAAGCCCCAAGTCACGATTTCAATTTGAAAGCGAAAAGAGCCCCAAATCGATCTATTGATTTCATATTCAGCGCTCAGAGTGGACGACATAAATCAAAATCTGTTTGCGACAAATGGTGACAGAAGCGAGACGCACCTCAAGGGCATCGTAGGGGTGGGGGGCGGGGTGGGATGATCTAAGGCAGGGTCTAAGCAGGTTTTTGTGACAGAATTCCCGATATGCTGCAGTGTAATGCGATAGGTGCTGCAGACCACAGTACCAGTATCCCCCTCCTTCACTTTGGGGACGACGCCACTACCTCTTACGCGCAAGATCGGCCTGGAGCCCGCCCGCAGACAGACAGACCCTTGGAGACTATGTTGGCAATTAATCAGCTGATTGCCTGGCCGCAGCAATTAGCCGGAATGGGACGGAGCACGCACTTGCCGTAATGCCGTCCCTTTTTTCAGGTGCAGAGGAGAGCAGAGAGAAGAGCACACGGCCTCACCTTGCACGTTTACCGCTTCCTTTGCATACCAAAGCAGAATGCGTTGACGGCAGCAGAGACGCAAGTGGCGGCAGCAGCAGAGAAAAAGCGCCAACGAAAAGACAAAAGCAAAAAGACAGCAGCAAAACAGGAGGCTCTTCAGCCGGTGGGCCGAAGCATTGCATACTCTTTCCATGTGGCAGCTACGAAAATGTATAGGCATTGTAGTGTTGTAGTAATTCCTAAAAATTGGGCTAAGTCGAAATGTAATCCAATTGCAATTTTCTAGGTTAGAATCCATCAGCTGCTTAGCCCGCATGCAGTATGGCAGCACTTTTACTTTTGCCGAAACTTCTCGAAATTTACAGCAACTTGCCTGTCTTCCAAGTCCTCCGCTAATGCGAAAGATCGAATATGCGACCACGAATTACTCGAAGAGTGCATGGCCACAATGGCACAACACCCGGCTATAACTTCGGAACCACAGACCACACACACAGAGAATCATTGTCATATATGTACATTTCTATCGAATTAATAATAAACTAATTATTATTATAGTTTATTAAGATGCCAGAGTCAGAATATCGGAGGCAGCCTTGGCATCAGTGAAGACAATGTAACGGGTCCGGACCACGATGCCATGGCTATTGAGGATCTTAATCAGACTGTGGGCGTAGCTCATATGGGGGCAGTGCCATATATCTGCGAGATGCATAAGCTGGGCGCTCAGCCAGGTGGGAGTCGACTTGGCGATTAGGAGCAGCTTGGCTCTTCCAGTCATAATGGCGCGGACGATGTCGTCGCAGGAGCATTCGAAATCCCCGTCCGCCACATGCACAGCGACTAAGCTCATCTTTGATAGCTGCTGAAACTAAAGCACTATTAGATCCTGCACAAATTGTCTTCTTCTTACGTACTCATACCTTTTTTTCAACGAGATGCAAATTTATTGATGTCTGTTCTACCGACAGCTTTTCTGCCGAACTCTTTGGCTCTTCTTTCGACTGATTTTTCTTGGTAATGTCTATGGAATTAAGCACAATATTAAATTGTGTTATCCGCAAAGTTTCTTACTAATTCGTACCTTTTTCTAAGACTCCGAGTTTTCTTCCGGCCGACTTTTTTCTATCTTAATGACTAGGCAGCTCTTCTTGTGACGTCCAAAGTTTGACAAGCTAATCATACCGATAACCCTCTGTCAAGTGTGACCAGGGCTGTCACCACTGTCTAACATTTTGCTGAGAAGCTTTGCAGTCCTTATTGTGTTTTAGGCGCTTCGCTCGTTCCAAGAAATTACTGAATGATTGGTAGAACTTTTGGTAATATTAATATAAATATAAATATAAAAATATAATATAAAATATATTTATATATACATATATAAAGTATTTAAGACTGCCCTACATCAGCTAGAGTTTTCAATAAGGTGACCAGAGTGCATCAATTATCATCCGCTCTGTTAAACGGTAGCCCTACTCAATCAGCTGTGCGAATTGTTAACAGAGCGCTTGTTTGGGCAGCGTTAAATTGTATTTAATTTGTGTACTATTCGGTGATCAGAGCGGATAAGGAGTGCATTTATTGTGCCATCGAAAATACGCGATACCTTATTGAAGGGTATACCAGCAGCGACGTCAACGACAACGACAACGCCAACGCAGTGCGCATGAGCAGCGCGTTGAGAGAAGTGGCAGCAGCAGAACTGCGCAGCCGCCAATATTATAAAAAAAGACCTGGACTCGGAAGCGTCTTGACGTTGGCGGTCAGCCGCTGCGCTGTCGCTGTCGCTGCCTATCTCACCTACCTTTACCTTTACCTTTGCCTCTGCCACAGTCGCTGTCGGTGCCTCTGTCCACCTTCGCTGCTGTTCCGCGCACTCAAAAGACGTTGAAATGCGAGCGCCGGGCGTCGTACGAAATCAGAACGTTGCCGCTGCGCAGACGCATAGCACGCGCCCAACACACCCACACACACACGCACAATCGGGAGTTATACTCGCTTATACTCGGTACACCACCCATCCACCCGCTGGAGCAAGCCGGCTTGCCATATAAATGTATTGAAAAAACAGAACAATTTTTAAAATACTTCCACAATTTCAAGGAATCTGAACAATTGTTTTGCTAATTTTTTCCGTTTTTATACTGTGTGATTTTTTTTATTGAGCTAAAAAGTTTCCTTCGGGTTTTCAACGTGTGTGTGTGCGTGCGTGAAGAATTTTTTGTAAATATTTTAAAGTGTTAAATAAGTGGAGTACATTTACAGGTAATTTTTTATCTCAAAAAAATGGAAAACAATGAAATATTATCGAGGAAAAAAATATACAAATATTCATATTGCAAACAGTTTTTTGAACACATTTCTCAAATGGTGGAAGAGCAATTTTCCTAAAGCAATACGCAATAAATGATGAACTAAGGAATGTGTGTCCTTGTTAAAATCTTCAGAAACTCTTTCGAACTCCCGATGGTCTCTCTATGGCGGGAAGAGGTGCACATACATCAGAAAATGTATGACATTATTTGTTTGTGGCAATTTCAATTGCAATCAACACTTTGAATCGATTTATGTGTGCTATTATCTCGTCCATCTACAAAATATGTAAAATGAAGGCATAGAAATGTAAAATTAAAACACAATCGCATTAGCATTTCTTATCTTAAATTATGCGGCAGAGTATTAAACAAGAGTTTCATATAAATTCTGATAAAAAAAAGGGGAGAAGGATTGCTGTTCCAAAAATATGGTACGCTGCGGTGCACAATTAAAACAAAATTGTATTCGCATTCTTATCTAAAATTATGCGGGAGAGTAATAAACAAAAGTTTCATATAAATTCTGATCAAAATAAGAGAAGCATTTTTGTTCCGAAAATATGGTACTCCGCGAGGTTCAGCGACATTTACACCCAAACGAGGGGGTGTTGTTGTGGTTGAGCGGAACAGAGAGAGCAACCTAGAATGAAGAGAGGTTGTGGTCCGTATGTCCTTCTGGCCCAACGACGACAGCTGCGAGAATGTTCCCGCAGAGTGAAACTCTCTCTCCAGCAGACACACGTTCTTGCAACATCCTTCACAAGGTGAACCAATCATACAAGGTAAGGCACATATTTCGTAGGTCCCTCTCTCTCTCTCTTTCCATCTCTGCATATCCGGCTTTTTAAATCCTGCGCATTTATGCTTAGAGCGCCAGAGAGAGAGAGAGAGAGCAAACAAAAATTTCCCTCAGCATCAGCTGTTTTGTGGCGGAAAAGAAATATTTCCTACCAAACTGTTATACAGCCGTGGCGGGCAATTCAAACGACTCCGCTTTAGGTTCATTGAACCCCCATGTTGGAGCGCTTTGGTTGGAGCTCTGGTTGTTCTTTTTTTGGCCATTTTTTGGGGCCACCAATTACATTGCGGCCAATTCTCGGGGCTTATCTAAAGCCCCAAGTCACTATTTCAATTTGCAAGCGAAAAGAGCCCCAAATCGATCTATTGATTTCATATTCAGCGCTCAGAGTGGACGACATAAATCAAAATCTGTTTGCGACAAATTGTGACAGAAGCGAGACGCACCTCAAGGGCATCGTAGGGGTGGGGGGTGGGGTGGGATGATCTAAGGCAGGGTCTAAGCAGGTTTTTGTGACAGAATTCCCGATATGCTGCAGTGTAATGCGATAGGTGCTGCAGACCACAGTACCAGTATCCCCCTCCTTCACTTTGGGGACGACGCCACTACCTCTTACGCGCAAGATCGGCCTGGAGCCCGCCCGCAGACAGACAGACCCTTGGAGACTATGTTGGCAATTAATCAGCTGATTGCCTGGCCGCAGCAATTAGCCGGAATGGGACGGAGCACGCACTTGCCGTAATGCCGTCCCTTTTTTCAGGTGCAGAGGAGAGCAGAGAGAAGAGCACACGGCCTCACCTTGCACGTTTACCGCTTCCTTTGCATACCAAAGCAGAATGCGTTGACGGCAGCAGAGACGCAAGTGGCGGCAGCAGCAGAGAAAAAGCGCCAACGAAAAGACAAAAGCAAAAAGACAGCAGCAAAACAGGAGGCTCTTCAGCCGGTGGGCCGAAGCATTGCATACTCTTTCCATGTGGCAGCTACGAAAATGTATAGGCATTGTAGTGTTGTAGTAATTCCTAAAAATTGGGCTAAGTCGAAATGTAATCCAATTGCAATTTTCTAGGTTAGAATCCATCAGCTGCTTAGCCCGCATGCAGTATGGCAGCACTTTTACTTTTGCCGAAACTTCTCGAAATTTACAGCAACTTGCCTGTCTTCCAAGTCCTCCGCTAATGCGAAAGATCGAATATGCGACCACGAATTACTCGAAGAGTGCATGGCCACAATGGCACAACACCCGGCTATAACTTCGGAACCACAGACCACACACACAGAGAATCATTGTCATATATGTACATTTCTATCGAATTAATAATAAACTAATTATTATTATAGTTTATTAAGATGCCAGAGTCAGAATATCGGAGGCAGCCTTGGCATCAGTGAAGACAATGTAACGGGTCCGGACCACGATGCCATGGCTATTGAGGATCTTAATCAGACTGTGGGCGTAGCTCATATGGGGGCAGTGCCATATATCTGCGAGATGCATAAGCTGGGCGCTCAGCCAGGTGGGAGTCGACTTGGCGATTAGGAGCAGCTTGGCTCTTCCAGTCATAATGGCGCGGACGATGTCGTCGCAGGAGCATTCGAAATCCCCGTCCGCCACATGCACAGCGACTAAGCTCATCTTTGATAGCTGCTGAAACTAAAGCACTATTAGATCCTGCACAAATTGTCTTCTTCTTACGTACTCATACCTTTTTTTCAACGAGATGCAAATTTATTGATGTCTGTTCTACCGACAGCTTTTCTGCCGAACTCTTTGGCTCTTCTTTCGACTGATTTTTCTTGGTAATGTCTATGGAATTAAGCACAATATTAAATTGTGTTATCCGCAAAGTTTCTTACTAATTCGTACCTTTTTCTAAGACTCCGAGTTTTCTTCCGGCCGACTTTTTTCTATCTTAATGACTAGGCAGCTCTTCTTGTGACGTCCAAAGTTTGACAAGCTAATCATACCGATAACCCTCTGTCAAGTGTGACCAGGGCTGTCACCACTGTCTAACATTTTGCTGAGAAGCTTTGCAGTCCTTATTGTGTTTTAGGCGCTTCGCTCGTTCCAAGAAATTACTGAATGATTGGTAGAACTTTTGGTAATATTAATATAAATATAAATATAAAAATATAATATAAAATATATTTATATATACATATATAAAGTATTTAAGACTGCCCTACATCAGCTAGAGTTTTCAATAAGGTGACCAGAGTGCATCAATTATCATCCGCTCTGTTAAACGGTAGCCCTACTCAATCAGCTGTGCGAATTGTTAACAGAGCGCTTGTTTGGGCAGCGTTAAATTGTATTTAATTTGTGTACTATTCGGTGATCAGAGCGGATAAGGAGTGCATTTATTGTGCCATCGAAAATACGCGATACCTTATTGAAGGGTATACCAGCAGCGACGTCAACGACAACGACAACGCCAACGCAGTGCGCATGAGCAGCGCGTTGAGAGAAGTGGCAGCAGCAGAACTGCGCAGCCGCCAATATTATAAAAAAAGACCTGGACTCGGAAGCGTCTTGACGTTGGCGCTCAGCCGCTGCGCTGTCGCTGTCGCTGCCTATCTCACCTACCTTTACCTTTACCTTTGCCTCTGCCACAGTCGCTGTCGGTGCCTCTGTCCACCTTCGCTGCTGTTCCGCGCACTCAAAAGACGTTGAAATGCGAGCGCCGGGCGTCGTACGAAATCAGAACGTTGCCGCTGCGCAGACGCATAGCACGCGCCCAACACACCCACACACACACGCACAATCGGGAGTTATACTCGCTTATACTCGGTACACCACCCATCCACCCGCTGGAGCAAGCCGGCTTGCCATATAAATGTATTGAAAAAACAGAACAATTTTTAAAATACTTCCACAATTTCAAGGAATCTGAACAATTGTTTTGCTAATTTTTTCCGTTTTTATACTGTGTGATTTTTTTTATTGAGCTAAAAAGTTTCCTTCGGGTTTTCAACGTGTGTGTGTGCGTGCGTGAAGAATTTTTTGTAAATATTTTAAAGTGTTAAATAAGTGAAGTACATTTACAGGTAATTTTTTATCTCAAAAAAATGGAAAACAATGAAATATTATCGAGGAAAAAAATATACAAATATTCATATTGCAAACAGTTTTTTGAACACATTTCTCAAATGGTGGAAGAGCAATTTTCCTAAAGCATTACGCAATAAATGATGAACTAAGGAATGTGTGTCCTTGTTAAAATCTTCAGAAACTCTTTCGAACTCCCGATGGTCTCTCTATGGCGGGAAGAGGTGCACATACATCAGAAAATGTATGACATTATTTGTTTGTGGCAATTTCAATTGCAATCAACACTTTGAATCGATTTATGTGTGCTATTATCTCGTCCATCTACAAAATATGTAAAATGAAGGCATAGAAATGTAAAATTAAAACACAATCGCATTAGCATTTCTTATCTTAAATTATGCGGCAGAGTATTAAACAAGAGTTTCATATAAATTCTGATAAAAAAAAGGGGAGAAGGATTGCTGTTCCAAAAATATGGTACGCTGCGGTGCACAATTAAAACAAAATTGTATTCGCATTCTTATCTAAAATTATGCGGGAGAGTAATAAACAAAAGTTTCATATAAATTCTGATCAAAATAAGAGAAGCATTTTTGTTCTGAAAATATGGTACTCCGCGAGGTTCAGCGACATTTACACCCAAACGAAATTCAATTCTGAAAAGTGCACCTGCCAAGGAATTCCAGAATTCACGGTACGATTCGTTCGGTTCTGCCGTCATTCAAATAATCGAATTAACCCCGAAATCTCTCGCTGTTTGGGGTTTCGTCGAGAGCCAATTGAAGTGCTACCCGATCGGCATACTAAAGAGGGGAGGAGGCCTTCGTGGAATGGTCAGGGTACTCGCACTCGCACTCGCACTCGTACTTCGTACAATGTGCAGTTAATAGAACCCGCTATGCCAGGGAATTGGGGAAAGGGAATACCAACTTTTATGTGCCCCATGCCACGGCACGGCGTGGCATTTGTGCATTTCAATGAGGCTCTCTTTTAACGTGCCCCTCTGAGTAATTGATTCCACACACCGAACAAAAAGCGCTGTTTGCAATGACTCAAAATCACTTGGCCAGAAATCATTTTTCGTTTAGCCATGAATGCACATATAATATATATACACTTTATACGATTTTATGTAGATATATTATGTACATCACGTTGGGGGTTCTCCATTTGTGGAGTTGTGGTATGGAATGTTGTGCACAAGGAAAGAAAGCAAAAGTTTCTGTTTGTTGTTGCGCAAGAAAACGTCAATGTCGTTTTCGATACAACTTTCTATCACCGGATAGTTCACCCAGAAGTGGGGAAAAACTATTCAAGTTCAAGGAAAGCCCCAGTTTGTTCGATGCATACTTTCGAGCGCCATTGCCATGCAAAAATAGATCTGTGAACGTTTCACGTGCCATCTGCAGTGGGGATCGGGATACCGATCTCCTCCGCTCACTGCTGACCTTCACTGTTGGGCCGTTAAGCCGGCTTGGTTTACTGACCCTCCCTCCCGTCGGAGTTTTCGCTTTCGATTAACACTCTTTAAATGCCAAAAGCGCCAAGGATGCCAAAGCCAGTTCCAGACGTCACGTCGGGTCAAGAGTAGCGGGAGGAGACGATACCGAGAGACTGGTAGACTGGTAGACTGGTTGACTGGCACGCTTGTTCTCACGCCCTGTCGTGCCATAAATTGTGGTCTCTCGTGGCACAAAACAAAAGAAATTTCAAAACGGAAATATCTCAGTGATGCCTCAAACAAAAAACTGGAAATTTAGCTTAAGTTCTAACTGAAACCGTACATATGTACATACACATGTATACATGCATACGATTCTTAGCCAGTAATTGGGCCATTTGTTTGGCAAAGACGGCAAAGATTCATTTGCGGTTTTCGGGGGAGCCAGAAATCCGTATTCCAGTTGACACATTGGCACATTTTTCTTGCCTTGAAAGAATTGGCCATTGATCGACCGATCGATCGACAATCGAACTGAAGCAAAGCGAAGTCTTCTCTTTGAATATAAAATTTACGCATGTTTGCTGGGACTTGTTCAAAGACACTTCTACGTGAGTGGCATCCGTGAGGAGACCGAGACCCATGCGTCGAGTCGTACACTAAATACAGCCTCGAGCTATCCATCCATGACGATTCTTGCTCGGGAGTTGACTTGACAGAGACACTTACAAGTCTGTTTATGTTTTTGCTTGTTTATTTATGGTTAATTTATTTATGAACTTATAAAATGGACTTATCAAAAAGCCATTAGCCACTACAAAACGGTTAGCTCCACAAAAGAAGACACACACAGATTCTGTAAACAGATTTCGTGGGAGATTTATTTCTTTGTGCCAATTCCAGAACAGAACTACTTCCCTGCAAGGTGGAAGAAGCGTGAGGGAGAACCCAAACCAATTAGTGCTCTGCGGTTCGTTAATAGATTTTTTCGATTTCCATTCGATGCCATTCCCATTTGCAAATCAGTTGAATAATTTCTAAAGACTTAAGAGTGTGACCTCCAAAGGGTATTATACTTGGATGAACGTTCGTTCGTTCTGTCATGCCTGGAGCTTACAGAATCGTGACTGGTGCAAAAACTGATGACAACAATGATGATTATCATTATTATGCGTATCAATATCATTATTCCTGATTTATTTCTGTCGCCCAAAATTCGAGACCAGTTCTGCTGTTGTGTGTGGGCTTCTCCACATCAGCATACTCGTACACACGTACATACATACATACATATATGTATTTCAATCTATTTGTATCCGTATATATGGCGCCATGCCATATATAAATCATACAATAGAAAACGGAGGAAATAATACACGTAGCTGAGTTTCTTGTTCAATTATTGATGTGATCGAAATATAAATGAAGAACCGAACATCTTTTGAGTCATGCAGTCCCAAAGAAAAGAAACAGAAAGAGCGCATTGGCATCACGAAACTCCCGCACTCAGTTGCCATATAGTACGGACTTATGTATGTCTTAGCTTAGCCTTCACTATCTTTGGATTTCCATAGAAAAATGTAACATCTGAAAAGTCAATGGTGTGTGGCGAATTTTTAATAGTGTTGTGGGCGTCTCCATGGTCCTTCTCTGCACGACTTTAGACACCACTCATTACGAGCCGAGTGGACATCTTTATTGGCTCGATTATTTCGGACCCGGTCACGCCCCCCCAGACAGCCAGCCAAAAAAAGTCGACAAGACATCGATTGCATAAGGTGATACATTTATTACCTTTTTTCGGTCGCTGTCTGCTATGCACTTTATTAATGCGAGTACTCGTGTGGGGATTGGCGGGAATTGCGCAATGGCATCGAACATTAAATAGCGCCATGCGAAAGACAGGGGCTACCTCCACATATCCACGCTGGTGGTGCTTCTTCTGGATCGCGGTCTCCCCTTTGCACGTTCAACTTACTTCGGTTTTTTTTTTTTTGGACTTCAACAATTTGGTTAATTTACAACTTAATTTCTGTCATGGTTTTCAATTTATCAGAGGCCCGACGACCAGAGGTCCCAAATTTCGTACATTTTCATTTCGAGAAACGGACCCCAGCCCTCCCGCTCCTGTCACATTCTCCTGCTTTACAATTATGATAAACGCTGTTGGTTATTGCCAGTTGTTGTAATTGCATGTTGATTGTTGTAGTTGTTGTTTTTTGTACTTTTTTCCCTCTGTTTCATCCACAAGGACGCTGTTTCGGCTTTGGTGTGTGTTTGCATCTCTTTTTGGGAGCGCCCATTAATCGTTTTTTTCCGCTGTCGTGGAATATTGCATGTTGCACGCTCATTTAACACAGTCGCGACCCAGGCCTGCCTGCCCGCCCGCCAGCCTTCCAGCTGCCTTATTGATTTCTGGGCCCCAATTAAAAACCCAACACTCATGCCTAATTACGTCGCTGGTGCCAGGGCAGGGCGCATGGGCATGGGCATGGGCCATGGGGCATGGGGCAAAGGCAACAAAGCTTACTCTCGAGTGGTTGCTTGTAGGTGGCAAAGCCGGGTGGCAGGTTGTTGCTGCACTTAACACCTGCACTAAGCTCCTAATTAACCGCCAAGCAGTGCTCAATCACTTGGCGAAACTTGAGCTCCGCAGCCAAGAACCCGAGTTTGCTCTTTTCTCCACCCAGGCCTCGTGCCTTTAACTTTTGCCGCCATTAAGAGCAAGCAGAATTTCGGTACAGATTTCCTATGCAAATATTGAAGATTGATGGGCTAGGCTAGGGAAAAATAGAGATAGACATTTTTACGTATTTTCAGTAGGGTCGGCAGCACCCATCGGCTGGTTAAGGATTGCTAGAAAAAAAAGGATTCATTGCGCTGAACACAAAGGTCACGGCGAAGTGTTTTATACGCCATAAGGTTTGTTAATTTTTCAAGCATCTGGTCATCCAAGATACGTATTTCGAATACTGAAACATAGTCCATTTAGTCATAACAAAAGCAGCCTTTCTTGCCACATCGATGCCGACTCAAATCAAGTCCAAGTCGCAGTATCCACTCCCCATCTCTTATGCTCCACAAACGCACCTTGTGGCTCATCTCGCCTGTCACTCGAAAGCCTCGAAAGTCAATGGCCATTGAGAAAAACAACGTAATATTTGCTAAAATATCTAAATTTTTGCATATATTCTGAATTCTTGGCCAAGAAATCAATGTGTTTGCTAGCCAATTTGGTAGAGTGGGGACATTGGACATGCCCATGCTTCGTGGGTTCGGCGGGGAGGGGAAGAAACGTAAATAAGCAAATAAATAAAACCACACTTGGACATTTAATGAGATTCGAAGTCGCGAGAAAGAGAGAGAGCATCTGGATATATATTTTTAGCCCCCAAAAGCTTCTGTGTTGTTGCCTTTTTGTGGTCGGAGGGGGCCGGACCGGGTTCAAGTGCCGGAGTTGGAAACCCGTTTATGCATTGGAGCCCCCCAGCCTCAGCCCCAGCTCCAGCCTCAGCCTCAGCCTTAGTCTCAGTTTCAGTTTCAGCTCCAGATCCAGAGACAGCTCCGATTCCTCTTGTGCTGTTTTGTGCGTAAACTAGATGATGCCATTAAAAATGTTGTTTAAAATTGAAAAAAAAAAGAAAAAAAAAACCGAAGACAGAATACCATGCAGCTATTGACAGTTTTTAATACACTTTAAAGGCGGGCCTGGGTCTTGTCCATGCTGTGAAGAAGGAGTATAGTATGCCCTACAGAACTCAATTAATATCCGCGTTTGGGATCGTAGGAGCACTTTTGTTTTCCAGTTTGTCTCTCAGCTTTTCATGGCACAGACGGCACTGGAACCCCTCGGATCGGATGGCTAAATTTAAGCATTAATGCTTAAGCAACCAGTATATCCCCGTTACGGTATGAACAAGTCAAAGTTAAAGTTTTCCCCATAAATATTATCAGTAGTTCCCCTCAAAATCCAAGTCTTTCCATTAAAAATCTGCCTCTACAGCTCCCAACAAAATTGATCAGGGTAGGCAGGGTATCTACCAACTCGGTCCTTTGCTAATCCTTCTCTCTTGATTACTTTTTTTTGCGCCAGCAAACATGTTTAACATAAAAGATAAGCCCCAAAGGGTATGAAAAAAAAATCATATTTAAACAAAAAAAAAAGAAAACAAAAAACGTAGCAAATATAAATACATACGAGTATTTATCCGTCTGTCTGGATTCCGTCTGGTTGTTGCTGCATCGGCCAGTGTGTGTCGGTGTGTTGCTGTTTTGTAAATTTATTTATAAAGGGCACACAGCTATAAAGTCGGAAAGCGGATCAGGTGGACGTCCTTGCAGGCATTATACAGAGACAGGCGCAGACACAGATACAGATACAGAGACAGAGACAGTGGTGCAAGAGGTGGAGGTTTCGGGTGTTCAGATACTCGTAATTCCGCAGGGAAAATCAAGAGCAGCTTTTCAACGGTAATTGCAAAATCAAATTTACATTCGATAGGGGAAAGCAATTAAAAGAAAACCTGCTGAGGGAGTTTTGTAAAAGAAATTCGGAATTTATTTGTTCACTCTTTATTGGCAATGTCCGCGTAGAAGTTAAAGATCTAAAAAATGAAAGAAACTGTAATGTTTTGGAGGTCTTTCCAAGAGTGTTTACGGTTATTTGTTTAGGACTTACAATCAACTCAGAATCCTATCATTCATTATTCTGTTGTTCAGTTTATCGTATTCCTTGAAGACGGCCCATCTGCAAGAGACAATTCTCCGCTGAGTTTCCATTCTGAAGTGCCGCTTAGAGCACTTTTATCTTGAGGTAACGTCCCTCATGCTTCGACTATCATCAATTCCGACTGATTCCCTCTGACTCCTGCAGCCGAGCAGGCCAAGGAGGAAGTAGACGCCAATACCATGGATGCAGTGATATCTAAGGCCATCGGCGCTTCCGTACGCAAGGCCAGCCGTATTCCTGTGTTGATTGCCAGCTATAGCTACAGCTATGCGAAGCCACGCAAGTATAAGAGGACACTCTTGAAGAAGGAGGTCTCGGCAGGAGATGCTAGCAAGGACAGTATCGGCCTCAGTCCCGGCCCACTCGCCGATGATTCTGGCATTGGCTTGGATAAGTCAGCGGATAACAGTGTGTTCTTGTTGGTTGGCTGATCATCTAAAGCTAAAAATTGAGTTGCAGAATTTACAGACTTCAGCCAACAATTTTAACAAAATAAACTACGTAAAATCTATGTAAAACCTAATGGAATCGGAGTTTAATAAATATTCTGAGCTATTTTTGACATTTATTTCAATGGTTTAATGGTTTCAATGGTTTCCGTGTCCCGAAAAGTCCCAAAATATAAGCCATAAGGACTACAGTACTTAGTCGTCGTTCCTCTAGTCCTCGTTCCACTGTTGTCTCCAAGAGCCCGTTTCAAGGGAATGCATTCGATTTCATGCCCTATGCCTGATGTCTGATATCTGAAATTGAATCCGCATTTCATTAAATTCTTTTTTTTAGGCAGAAGATGCGGCGACAGTTGACAGTTGGCTCGGGCTTCACAATGAGCACGCTCCGAGTGGTTCTGGTAAGTGGTTTTTGGCCAATTAAGTTAGTGACCGAACCTACATATGTATGTCTGTCCAATATCCCTCCCATGTTTTTCAGCTGCTGCTGCTCGGCGTTCGTTCGGTGCTGGGGCACGGCCGCCTGATGGATCCTCCGGCGCGTAATGCCATGTGGCGCTTTGGGTATCCCAATCCCGTGAACTACAACGACAACGAGCTCTTTTGCGGCGGATATGCGGTGCAGTGGGAGCAGAACAGCGGCCGCTGCGGCGTCTGTGGGGATGCCTATCACGTGAAGTCGCCGCGCCCACACGAAGCGGGCGGGGAGTTCGCCAAGGGCATCATCTCGAGGTACTACACCTCCGGCCAGGAGATCGAGGTGGAAGTGGAGCTGACGGCCAACCATTACGGCCGCTTCGAGATGTTCCTCTGCCCCAACAACAATCCGCGGCAGGAGGCCACCCAGGAGTGCTTCGACCGCTATCCCCTGCTGATCTCCGGCAGTCGGGAGCACCGCTACCTTATACCGCGCGATGCCAAAAAAAAGGACATCTTCCGCTACCGTGTCAGGCTGCCGGCCTATGTCACCTGCACCCAGTGCGTCCTCCAGTGGACATACTACACGGCCAATATGTGGGGCACCTGTGCCAATGGCACCGAGGCCGTCGGCTGCGGCAAGGCAGGTAAGTTGCCAAAGATAGAGTTCTTTCTCTTGCCCGTGTCTCATCTGTAAGCCCACAATATCCAACCCCCCTATGTCCTCCATTGCACAGAGACATTCAGGAATTGTGCCGATATAGCCATCATTTCGAACACTGGCGGTGGTGTGCCGCCCATTTTTGTTAATAACAAATCGCCATATCTGCTCTACTATCGGGACTATCGGGCGCCCGAGGACAACAATGTCTTCCCTTTGATTGTGCGGTGAGTACGGTGTACGGTGTACGGTATATGGTGCGGGGATGCGGGGGAAAATGTTTCGGCTAGACATTGTAACCGGTTCGGAAGCAACCTTTGCATTTATCGATTCGGTAGTACGCTTTCTTTAACTGTTTTACTTCTTAGCCACCTCGTTATCCATTGTTTGGCTTTTCTTAACTTTTATTTATTTTTATTCTTCTGATTTCAAACTTGATTTCTTTCTATTACCGCTTCTTCGAGCTCTCGTTTGCCTCAGCTCCCATTCTACGAGGAATTCATTTCCTTACCGATTCCATACTATTTCGCTTCCTCTCCACTTTATCTTTATTATTTTAATCAGGGACCCTACATAATGACAATTTTTTATTTTCGTAACTATTCAGAACAGCCGCACGGCAGTATTATATATACCGGTAAACTACTCTAGGTATAATCTATCCCTATAATTATCCCTTTTAAGCATGTTCTTCGGTGATAATAATAATTTCCTTCCTTCCTTTTTCCCTTAAAAAAAAAGTAAAAATTTTGAAAATTACAAGATTATAGGTAGTTAAGAAAAAATGAGAGTTGAGGATACATTCCTTACTATTTGAGGCATTCTCAAAATGTTTCCATAAAAAAAAATTCAAAATCAGTGTAAAAAAAAGGTATTTTTAAAAAAGTATTAAATTGTGCGTTGTGCTCTATTTTTGATTGTGTGATATTGTGTGATATTTAAAATAAAACTTATTATACGGTCCTTGATTTTAATATTAATTGTTTCCTTCTAATTTAACAATTATTTTACTCCACTCCTTTAAATTCCTCTTTCTAGAATTTTTTTACCCGTTTCATTGCCGATTGGCTATCCTTGCTATCCTTGTCTCTACTATCCCCAACACGATGCTGATTCCTTATTCTGTGTCAGCTATCATAACCGTTTCCACTGACTCTAACCGTTTTGCTGTTTCCTTCACCTTGAAAATCTGCCATTTGAGAAGACAATTCTAACTCTTGCTTTGGTTTTTAGCAATGCCACGCGGCATGCGCGCAAACGAGCCCACGCTTAACCGCTTACTACCTGCTAAATGCTACCCGATACACAGCTTACCCGCATATACCCGGTAACCGGTACCCGCATAGACAACTTACCCGATTCCAAAGTTCTGTTCGTCGCGCCGCGAACCGGGGCTAGAGTGGCATCCGAAACGGGTAAAGGTAAATGCGAGTCTATTAAATATTAAGCAAAAACGGTTATGGTTTCCAAAACACACACACATACATATATACATATTACATACATATACTCATAGACACACTTGCTGTATATAAATAAATGCTTGAATAAACATAAAACATATATAATTCGGATTTATATTGTTTTCTGTTTCGGGCATAGCCGATTCGCAGCGCTTGGTTTTGGCTTCTCTGGGATGGCCCCGATTCAATACGATTTAGTACACAAGAAATTTATTTATTAACATTGATCTGTCGCTCTGGATCCAGTGTCTGTTTGAGTGGGTCTGCAAAGACGAAAACTAAAAAACATAATTTTGATAACCGCATTGAAACGAAACGTTGAGAAGCCAGTGCCTTCTTCAACACGCAACAATTTTGAAAAAACATTTAAGAATCATCAGTAAAATCATGGAACGTCAGCTCTTGAGGCACCGTATCTCCGGATAGACACAGACCAAGATCAGCATGATGAACAGGAACACCTGTAAAGTCCCCACCAGGACTTTCTTGAAAATCTGTACACCCTTGTTATGGACTACCAGGTGCTGCGTCGAGGCACGTATTTCAGGGGGCGGCAGTTTTGAAAGCTCTGCGCGCCCCCCTAACAAACGTGACTTCCAATTCTTGGCCATGAGACTAGAGCGTCGTGGTGTGGCTGGCGGTGACCGATCCCTTGGAATCTCTGTCTGCGTGCCGGAATGCACCTGCGTGGGAATGGGTAGAGAGGATAGCGCCGTCACCAGTAGCCGCTCCACCATCTTCGAAGTTAGTCCAATGTCGGCCTTATGCTCGGGCGCTTGCGTCGAGTTGCCATTGGAGGTCAAGCATGTCTCCATCGACGGGGTCGAGACTCCATTTGGGGTCAAGCATGTCACCATCGACGGGGTCGAGATGCCAGTGGTGGACAAGCAGGAAGCCATCGACGGGGTAAGGATGCCATCGAAGGTCAAGCTTGTCGCCCCCGAATACAATGAGGCCAAAAATTCGCAAAATGGTGACTCCGCGTCCGAACTGCCAATCGATGCCGATTGAATGGATCCCATCGCCAGGTCGGACACGGAACGAGCCAAGCTGTCCTTTTCTTTGTCGTAAATGGATCGGGCCTCATTCACCAGGGGACGGAGCTGACCCAACAGCAAGCTGGAATTTTTGCCCAGGTTCTCGAACGCGATGCGGCACAAGGGGCTCATCTCTTGTATTAGATCGGAGTAGGCGGCAGCACCTGCACGTCGAGAATCAGCATTGGAATCAGCAACAGGAGCCGGAGTAGGCAGCAGTGGGATCCCCTGATCCATTTCGTTATCTGAATCGGTATCGGTATCAAGATCGCTATCTGGATCGGGCTTCAGACTCTCTGTTGCCATCATGCTATTCATCTGCAGATTGTACTCCTCGATCATGCCGAACGACTGGGCCTTGGCGATGATGCGAGGCTCCTGCATCATCATTGGCTTATTCTCAACGTGCCGGTATTCTATTTTCCTGATGGCCACACTCTTCTCGAGACTGGGGCGCATGGATCTGAAGCTGGTGGATGGCGTGTAGTAGCTGCTCGAGGACTCGTAGCCCTTGGCCTCTTTGGCCTTGCCGCCGGTGGTGTTCTTGGTCGAGGGTTTCGGGAGTATCTGGGGTGGGCCTCCTGCTTCAGTGCGGTCTAGCGGACCGATGATGATCTTAAGATTGGACTGCATCCGTCTGTTCATCAATGTCAGCGTCTGGAGCTCCTTTTTGAGATGGGCAGCTAACGGCTTCGGTATTTTCTTCTGGTCCTTTGGGGGGACGGAGGACACGGCTGCCAGCTGCTCGTAAGTGGTCTTCTTTGAGCTGTTCACGTACGGGTTGAGCTCTACGACCATCTCGTTCAGCTTCTGGTAGCTCTCCGTTAACGCCTCCACGGCCGCTTGGTCAGATGCGACCAACAAGGCCGAGGCAATTGGGACGTCGCTACTCGCGGGCGCAGGCGTCTCATCACCAGTGCTATTGATAACGGCATCGTAGGCTTTGTCGGAATGAAAGGAGCCACGACTGGCCGCGGGTCCGGCGTGAAAGCGATATTCCGTCAAAAGGCCGTCGACGTCGTCATCCGGCCCCCCAAAGTACGTGAAGCTGGTTCTTGACACCTCCGCCAACCCCTGGGCATGTGTCCCACTGTTCTGATCGGTCAGGTCGCCGGTGTCACCATTTTCTCCTGTGGTGACGGTGCTATTCTCCAGCACCCGCAGGTTGCTAGCTTCAGTGCGCGGCATCTTCTTGTTGGGCACTGGCCTAGCCAGTGGGGTCTTCAGTTGGCTCGCCTTTGTCACAGGGGGCTGACCTCGGCGGGCGTGTCCTGCCACTCGAGGCGGAAAATCCCTCCTCATCTGGGCACCGGCTGGAGCTCTAGCCGGACGTGGAGCCGCAGCCTCTGCCGCTGCAGCTGCCTCTGCCGCTGCCTTTGCCGCAGCCTCTGCTGCAGCAGTTTTGGCTGCTGCTAAAGTGAGAGCCGTCACCAGTTGCTTGGATTCACCCGAAAATGGACTGTAATTAGCACGGCCGCTGACGGTGATCCTTGGGACGCCAGTCACCAGCCGACGAATGCGTCCCGAGCGTCCTTGAATTTGGGCTGACCAAAGAGCAAAGGATTAGCACAAACGAATTTGGAACGTGGACGCTGCATAACTACTAACCAGTCGGTGGATACTGCGCCGTGTAGTCACCCATATTCACGATCTGCGGCTGCAGATGAAGCGGCACCCGACAGGCCCGTGCCTGGGCCTCGGCCAACTCCCGCAATCGAATACGTTCAAACATTTGGGATCCCATCGCTGCGATTGCGTTCGGATGTGTTCACTTGGTGTTTGGTGTTGAGAATTGTGTGACGTGACTGTTTCTTTGATGGCTTACGCGAAGCTTCTTTGTTTTGAAAGCTGCTGAGCTTTTGACTTTTTTAGTTTTAGTTTTTGTTTTGTTTTACGATGATAGAAAAAATATATTATAGACCGGATATCAGACGACAACTTCCTTACGAGACCGAAATCAGTGTTAGAATGAGAAATTTCACACTCAAAACATACAAATGTTACAAACAGAAAACTAACCGAGAGCTAGATGGATTCCGGGGGGATGGGGGTTTCTTTAAAAGTGACGTCTAAGGTCTTCGATTTGGGAACACATAAATTTAACAAAAACGGCAACCTATGACTTTACTTTTATGCGTCCGTCTGTATCCAAAAGATGGAGATCATCCATTAAATGGCTTTCATAAGACAATAGAAAGCTACCACAAAACTCATAAACAGTGATATTATTTACCTATGTATATTCAAAGCAAATCATCGTAAAAGTCCTATGTTATCGATCTTTGCAGACTCATACATAATACCATTATCTACCTATATTTAGGGAATCATTAAAATCGTATAATTCTTACGATCGGATACATAGGCAAAAACCCTGTGGGATCCACAATTTTAAAGTCACGGAACTCGATCCTTGCAGACTCATACTCATATTTAAAGAATCGACAGAGGGGCTAAAGGAACTCAAAAAGTTCCATTAAGTATTCCCCATCCGCTCGTACACAACACGTCTTCGGTTTCAGGAGGGAATATATCAATGAACCCCTGAAATTTTAAAGATATCTTACAATCGGAACACCTCGAAGATTCTATCAATAAAATGAGATCAAAGATGCTACTGCTCTAGGAGGAAGGAATCTTTGAAAATCAAACTGCGCTTTTTTTCCAGTCAAGGCCTTTTTTTTTGTTTGTTTTTTGTTCTTGTTTTTGTTTTATTTTTTTGTTTAATGCATTGCTTTTTTCTTGCCGCCTGTGGTGTTACCCCGATGTTTTCCTGAAGTTTCCTCCAGTTGGTCAGAACTCTAGGCCTTGCTTTGGTTCTTGGACTTGCCCTTCAGCTTGGACTTCAGCTTCAGCTTAAGCTTCTGGATCATGGGGAACTTATTGCGAGACACCGTCTTTGGCAGTGCCTCGCAAACGATGGACTCAAATCTATCACGATCTCGGTTTTGCACGGGCGTCGCCATGTCCGACGGCGTCTGTCCGGGACCAATCGGATTCAGTGGCCGCCCCACCATCGATGGCACCGACGGCACCGATGGCTTAAGGAAGCATCTCTCCAGATTGTAACCATAGCCGCTGTACATCGGGAGACAATGGTCCAGCGAGGTAACGGCATTGGAGTTGCGATGCCTCACCACGATATCGGTGCGGGGCGTTTGTATCTTGACCATGGCTCTGGAACCGCGCATGTTAATGACAGAGCGGCCACTGCCGTAGTTAATGCGCAGCTCTGGCAGTCGACGTTGCTCCCCCATCTGATTGTGTCCCTTCCGCTGCTGCCACCCGCTGGACACCCAAAAGCGCACGCAATGCAAAAGTTAAATTTTTTTTCTAGATTTTGATTTGCATTTTTGGAAAAACGACAACTACAACGGACAACTATGACGGACTCTAGATGAGAAACGACAGTTGTTTCCTGGATGAGTGACAGATATTTCCTTGATATAGTAGTAATATAGGATTGCCTCGTTCATCCCACAGTTTCGTTACATTTTACGGACCAGATGTTGGTCTTGGAGTTGGGGAAGATTCCCTCTTTCACAATTTTAGCGGTTTTGGAGTAGAAGGAGTAGAAGGACCCTCCCCGTTTAGAGACTGGAAAATCCATACATTCCATGGATATGGATATATGTCTCATTCGATAGACTTTCCGCCTTCCATTAATCTTCATGTTTTAGCTCAATCTTTTGGTTCTATCTTCTTGCAGAGATCAAAAGTGCATTGGGGCATCGGCATTCCGTACGCTGCCTGGAATCGATCACTGGTGCGAGATCAACTGCCTGCGCTATCCGCCCAATTGTCCGGAGGAGGCCTGCCACTGTCCGTAAGTAGCGCCCTTGAATCGAGTGAATGCCCGGACTACCGCAGACTACCGCAGAAACATAATCCTGACTTGTTTTTGCAGTCAGGAATGCGTGGCGATTGGGGAGCTGGCGGGACGCGAAGGAGCCGACACTTACTGCATGGACGAATGCCTCAATTACGAGTCGGACTGTCCGCGCGACAGATGCCGCTGCCAATAGTCCGTGGTGTATCCCCAAGCTGTGCTGCCTATTGCCCCACCCCCAATGGACGAGAGAGGAGAGTGGACGAGATATGTATGTGAAATAGAGGAGATGTATATCGAATATCGGGAATGAATTAAATTTGATTAAGAAAAAAACTGCCGGCGACTTTCAATGGGGTATCCCGTCTTGTAACGTCCCGTCTCGTCTTTCCCTCAATCTCTTCTTTCTCAATCTCTGAATTCCCGCTTCTGTTGATCCATGAGGAAGGGTCTAGTGAAGATCTGTAGCATTTCCCGCTGTTCGCGTAGGCGTCGCGTCTTGGCCACAGGCGACTCCGAGTCATCGGTGTAGCGGCGGGCACTGAACAGAGACGTCACCGTGCTGCTCAGCTGCTGCCAGCGTTCGATGGCACGCGACTCGCCCAATGGCCTTGAATAGAAGCCGTCCAAGTGGCTGCTGTCAAGAGGAAGATCCTTCATCTTCTGTGGTTCTGGTACAGGCGACAGAACGGATAGGGATGGTGCCTGGGGCATCATCTGGCTGCAAATGAGCACCTCGGCCCGCTCCTCGCGCCCATCCGCTTCGGTGTCCTCGTGGGGCTGGGCCACACAGCAGCCGGCTTTCACATTGCACACATGCTCGAAAGTGGAGGAGATGCGGCGCAGTGTTGTATCTGGTGCTCCCGCTGAGGATACTTTTTTAGCTGCTCCGTCTCCTTCTGATACAACAACTGCTGCTGCTGCTGCTTCTGCTGCTGCTGCTGCTGATGCTGCTGCTGCTGCTGCTGATACCGCTGCTGTGGGTCCCGCCTCTGTCACAGCGGCGCTCAGCCGGTTGCGCATGCGATTCAGATTTGCATTGGAAATCATATTACCGTAGCTGAATCGCAATTTCGCACGATGGCGGCGCGCCTCTTCGTCTGTTAACCGCTTGTCCGCCTCTTGAACCTGGGCCAGGGCCTGGATCGGAGCCTGTGTCTTGGTCTGTTTCTGGTTGGACATCGTTCTGCCTTCTGTTGCAACGGAGATACAACACACTTAATAATGACCAAACATACACTGAAATTTGGCCCAATTATTTGATTTTGGCTATGGGGGATACTACTTGGGAAATTTTGAGATACACAATTGATCTACAATGACATCTGCTGCCAGGGCAACACACTTTTTGGCTATTAGTTTCTCACATATTTAATGGACAATATCAACCCGAGCTGAATGCAATCTCAACAATGTTTTGGACACACTTGTCTCTGTCTTAGGTCTCTACACTAAATGCTAAAACAGCTTGGCAGCTCTCAGAACTGCAGTCGCTTCTTCTGTGGCAGGCTGTTGCCGCGAACGGTAGTCTCCACCAGCTTGCGCTTCACCGCCTGGCCGGGCTTCTCGTCGGCCTTTGCATTGGCCGCCACTATGGCCGAGGGCAGGGGTAGCTTTGGACCAACGGTGGGAGCCGGCTTGTTGCCAAAGTAGGGCATGCTCAGTGCCTCGCGGCAGGAGACACGCCGCAGCGGATTCATGGCGAAGAGGCGGCGCATTAGGTGGATGAGGTCATTGTCGGCGGCAGTGAATATATTCTCCAACGGGGTGCCCGTGAAGTGGCGGAACTGTAGATAGTCGTGCAGCTTCCCCAGATACGGCCACTCGGCCTCTGAGGGTGTTCCGAGGGTGGCAAAGATGCGGGTCAGCTGATCCAGATCCGAGTCGCCGGGAATAAAAGGCACGCGCAGCATGAGCTCCGCCAGAATGCAGCCGACGGCCCACATGTCTACACCAGTGCCGTACTGGCGGGCACCAAAGAGCAGCTCGGGCGACCGATACCAGCGCGTGACCACGTGATGGGTGTAGATCCGATTTGGCGAACCGTATGTCTTGGCCAGGCCGAAATCACCGATCTTGAGCACACCGTCGCTATTGACCAGCAGATTGTTGGGCTTCAGATCGCGATGCAGGATCCAGTGGAGGTGCAGGTACTCCAGGCCGCGCAACGTCATGATGGCGTACGCCTTGATATTGGCCTGCGTGAGTATGATCTTGGTGTCCTTGATGATCACCTCCAGGTCGGTGTCCATAAAGTCAAACACCAGCGACACGTTCGACAGCTGTCCGAACACATCCACCAGCCCAATGATGTTTTCATGCTGCAGTTCCTGCAGAATTTTGATCTCGCGCAAAGCGGTTCGATTGATTCCATCTCGAGCATCTTCGCGGCTGCCACGCTTGATCTTCTTCACGGCCACAATCTGGCTGGTCACCGTGTCCCGAGCCTTGTACACAATCGCAAACTGGGAGGGGAGAATGGACAATGCATTTAAAGAGAAATAAACGTCAATATAATATAAATAAAGCTTTAGCGTTGCAGCAAACTCACCTGACCCTCACCAAGGAACGACAGTTTGGCATAGCGGTCGCCTTTGTCGCTGCTGTGGGGCGCCATGTGGGCGCCAGCTTCTCCGCAAAGCACCATTAATAACACAAACAAATTTAATTAGCAAATGGCAAACAAAACTAAACACAAAAATTAATTGAATTGCACGGAAGCAATCGATGGGGCTTGTGCACTACCGGCACCACCGATTAAAGCTGGTAGCATCGTTGACATCGATGGTTTTGCATTTAGTTGGCGCCCATGAAATAACACACACTAACATAAGTGGCTACAACATGTTTATAGATTAAGGCAACATCCCACTGCTTCTGAAAGGACATTTAGGTAAGCTGGGCCAACCTGCTGCTTCAAAATTATTTTAATATATTTTTGATTTCACTTAATTTGATTGTTTTTAAAACATCGATGTTTCTCCAGCTCTAATCGATAGTTCAGTGCGATAGACATAAAATAGTACAACGCGTTGGCGGTGCCGGCTGTTGTTTTACAACACTGATCTCAAGGGAGCATTTTTTTCTTTGCTGCTGTGTTTTCAAGCAAAAAAATAGTTTAAATTAAATTTCGCACGAAGTTCCAACAAAAATGGATGTTCGCCCGAATCAGACCATCTATATTAACAACCTGAACGAAAAGATCAAGAAGGAGGAACTGAAAAAGTCCCTCTATGCCATCTTCTCGCAGTTCGGCCAAATTCTCGATATTGTCGCCCTGAAGACACTAAAAATGCGCGGCCAGGCATTTGTTGTATTCAAGGAGATCGGCAGTGCATCCAACGCGCTGCGCACTATGCAGGGCTTCCCGTTCTACGACAAGCCCATGCGCATCGCCTACTCCAAGTGTGACTCGGACATCGTGGCCAAGCTTAAGGGCACATTCAAGGAGCGCCCCAAGAAGGTGAAGCCGCCAAAGCCCACACCGGGTATCGATGACAAAAAGTAAGTACCCTCCGCACAAAGACAAGCATTCCATTCGTATCCAGAAACAATAACAAACCATTTTCTTTCCGTACACCCCTCCCCCCGCAGGGACAAGAAGAAGAAGCCGGTTACCACTGAAAATTCGAATCCAAATACGCAAACGGAGCAGCCGCCAAATCAAATTCTCTTCCTTACCAATCTGCCGGAGGAAACCAACGAGATGATGCTGTCGATGTTGTTCAATCAGTTCCCCGGCTTCAAGGAGGTTCGCCTGGTGCCCAACCGACACGACATTGCCTTTGTCGAGTTCACCACAGAACTGCAGAGTAATGCCGCCAAGGAGGCACTACAGGGCTTCAAGATTACACCCACACACGCCATGAAGATTACTTTCGCCAAGAAGTAGGACCACCAAGGCTGTAGTGAAACTGAAACACCCCCGAAGCCCCGAGCCCACTTTTTTTTAACGTGCTAATTTAAATAGAATAAACCAATCCATTATAAAACGAAACAATTGCCGAAGAATTCTGGTTGAGAGTTAACATATTTAATTGAACAATTGTGTGTTGTTGTTGCACACATTTCCATTTAGTGTATAGTTTTGAAAACAATATTTAACATGTGTAATTGTTGTTTGTGTTAGGGATGCTGTTGTTGCACATATTTCCATTGGATTCTGGTTCTGGTTAGAAGATTTAAGTCATGTTTTTGTGCTATCGAAATCCAGGATGCCTTACTGGTCGATAGCATCAATAATATTGTTTAGTGTTGCCTTTATGCATTGTTATTTGGTTAGTTGCCTGTGTTGTTGCACATATTTTCATTTCGTGTTTAGTTTCGTTTGCCTGCAATGTATCTGGTTGTTTAATGTCACACAATTATGCATTGCTTTCTGTTTGGAGAACTCTCTGTAGCAGTGCTGCTTTTTATGTCATATTTCCAGGACGCCTCTACTGGTCGATGGCATTCAAAATGCCGTTTAGTGCCTAAAGAAGAATGCATTTTGCTGTGTTACATTTGTGCATTGCATTGCTGTTTTTTTAGACAACTTACTGTGCTGTGTTGTTTGTGTTTTTTGCTCCTTAGTTTTCCATGACGCCTTCTTGCTCCATGGTGTCAATGACGTCGTCGGGGGCGTCTGGCTGCTCCGATTCGATGAAATCCGAATTGATGGCGCACACATTATTGTCACTGTTTGCCCCTTCGAGCGGCGTCTGGCTGTCTGGCTCGTCGTCGTCGGTGCCCTGGCCGCAATCGCACTCGCTGCCCACATACTTCTCCATGGTCTTGGCCAGCTTTTCGGAGTTACAGCCAACGAAGAAATCGACCACGGTTCCGGTCTTGATGAACACGAACGTTGGCAGGCTGGTCACGTTGTACCGGATGGTTATCTCCTCGTTCTCGTCCACATTCACCTTGAGGACGACGGCACGGTCGGCATACTGCTGGGCCAGCTCCTCCAGCTTGGGGCTGATTATCTTGCACGGTCCACACCAGTTGGCATAGAAATCGATCACGATCAGCTTGTCCCCTGCGTCGGTGACCTGCTGATCGAAGTCATCCTTGCTCTGCACCAGATACACCATCGTTAGTAAAGTTCTAAAAGGAAAACAAAACCAAAATGCACAAACACGGAACAAAATTTTCACATTTTTTTTTTATTTGCTTTTAAATTTGCTCGGAGACTTACGATTTTACAAAAATCAAAAACCTTTACGGTTGAGAAACAACTAACGAACTGAAATCTGGCTGAGGCAGTAGATAGAATTAAAGGGCGTCCAAAATTTGTTCAAAGGCAAGGCCTACTTTTTGCACGAAATTTTTCAATTGCTTCTTTGCAACAATGTTGTGTGCTCGTTGATGTTTCAGAAGTATGTTTCGAATTACGTAGATACATTTCAGGGGAGAGAGAGGAGAGCTTTAGTGGACAATGAATCCAATTCCACGAATACAATGCCTAGCTTTCGAATAAAGAAAATAAAAGACATACATATCAATGCAATCACGAATGGCGGCGTCGCTGCTCGTTTCAAATGTACGCCTGATTTGCAGCAGTGTGACCTTTATGAGTGTGTGCAATAATATCCCAATAGTGCAATATAATGTTGGACATTTTGAGTGAGAGAGACGGAGAGAGTATAAGAGCTAGTGGACAATGAAATTCCACGAATTGCAGGTTAATTGTATAGATAAAAATGGCGCGAATTCCAAATTCCGCAGATCGGCCGAGCCGAGGCTATAAAAGGTACCAGGAGGCCCACAAGTAGTCCCAAAAAATGAACGTCGAGCCAACGCATCCCGCTTGAGCAAAACCGCGAGACTGAAAAGTTCTTTGTACACATAGTTTTTTTTAATTTATCGTGTGCACATAAAACACGAAAAATGGCTTGCATCCGTAGCATGAACGACTTTCATAAGAAAATGGATGCTGCCGAGGGTAAGGTTGTGGTCTTGGACTTTTACGCCACCTGGTGCGAGCCCTGCAAAGACATTGACAAGAGCGTCAAGTCCCTGGCCCGCAAGTACTCCACAAAGGCGATGGTCATCAAGATCAATGTGGACAAGTTCTTAGATCTGGTGGATCAATACAAGATCAAGAACATGCCCACATTTATCTTCCTACGGGGCACGACGCGCCTTGCCCGCTTCAGCGGCGCCGATGAGCACAAACTGATTAAAACTATGGAAAAGCTGACCAAGTAAATCCAGCCAATCAAGCCTCAGGCGGGAGTGAGCAGGCTTGACCGCAAATTTAAACCTACCTTTTTTTTACTGAATGTGCGTTATGTGTTTTGTAACCCTCGAAAGAGGGAAATTGTCTTTGTGTATGTCTAGAATATAAGAAATATGTATTTTTTGTGGAAACTGTGAAATTTGTCAAACATAACCTCACCAAAATTGTAAGAGAAAATTTAATCTTTTGGCATCTGCGATGTCGCCTTAACATAACCTCAATCTCACATAAGAAAAAGAAAACGAAAAGAAACAAAACAAAAAATTGTGTATGTATGTATGTAGTCGTGCATCTGTGATGCGAAAATGCGAAATGAAAAAGAGAATGTTGCCCTAAAACTATATTTAATTGATATTTAACGTGTAAGCTTGGAATGCCGCCGTAAAGAAAGATAAACTACTCGAAATGCCTTTTATATGATAATTTGCTTTAACCATTTAGAAATAAAGATTCCAAATTTGACTAAAAACTACATGAATTTTCTTAGTTGGCTTTGGGGAACTTTGACGTTTTGGTTAAATGTGTCTCAGTCTCATTAGAAAAAATCTTAAACCACACACATGAAAAAATCATTTTCGTCATAATAAACCAGCCAAAAAATATTTAGGACGCAGCTAAATTCTCAATTGCAGTTTGAATAAAATAAAAATCAAAGATAATCCAGCAGTTACCCGATAGCAGATAGCAGACGCAGACAGCAGTATCCATCATGTCATACCAGATCAAGTCGACGCCGTTTTTCCGCCGCATGTACAACAATAGCCAAAGGAATGGCCAGCTGCAGCGTTTGAGGGAGGAGTACGAGCGGATACAGGAGTTCAACGACCGCACCATCGAGCTGAAGATGCGCCAGGTGAGGCTGAAGCGACTCTTCCGCGAGATCGAGGAGATCAAAGAGGGGCCCCCCGCCATGTCGGGCACTGGCACTAGCACTGGCGCTGTCGCTGGCGCTGGCCCTGGTCCTGGCCTCGATGGCACTGGCACCTGCAACGTTGGAACCTCCTCCGCCACGGCTAGGTCGATGCAACGACGCCGTCGGCTGGAGCTGCTGGCGCCAACGGTCGAGCAACAGCAGTATCTGCAGCGCCTGGACACGCTGGCACGCGCCAAAGAGCTGGGCAAGGAGATTTCTCGTCGCAATGCGGAACTGGCCGAGGCCGGTGTAGGCCACTACCTGCGCAGCGATCTGCGATTGACCACCAAAATGCAAGCGGCCGTTAATGCGAAGCGCGCGGCGGCGGACAGACGGGAGCGGGCCGCCAAACGGATCAGCTACGGCAATGCCCAGTCCAAGCACAACCTGAAGCGACTCGTCACCAGCCGCTTGCGGCGTCTTTGTGGTGGTGGATCCACTGGCACGGGCGCCGCCGGTGCTGGCTTGATGGACTCCTCCCCTGGCAGCTCTGGCCAGCAAGGACCAGTGGCTGGCACCAATGCGTCACGGCTGCAGCGTCCTGATCTGACTAAGAAGGCCATGCTCAAGCAGCGTCTGCTCTACGGCAACTCGCGCTCCTGCAGCAACATGAGGCGGCTGAGGCGTCACAACCAAATCCAGGGCCACGGCCGAGACCAGGCGCCTGTGAAATTGTGCAGCCAGGTGGAGCTCCTGGCCGACTTCGTCGAGGAAGGGGATGATGGTGATGAGGAAGAGCAGGGCCTGGAGCTGCCGAGCGAGTCATCTGGCCGCTTGCAAATGGCCCACTACACGCCCAGCAGCAGCGGCACCACGGACACCATCACAACGGAGGATCTGGATGATCTGGAAGACTTTGGGGAACTAAAGGACCAGGGGGCACCAGCCACGATTCTAGAAGGGACATCTGAAGAGGAGGATGGCTCCGAGACGGAAATGTGCACGGTTTCGCGTGCATCTACATCCCAGGCGATAAAACAGGGCTCACAGTGCTCCAGGCAGGTATCGATGGCGCTCCAGAATGAAGGTACAGATCGCGTGCACCCCGAGGGTGCGGTGTCCAGCACTCAGGACAACACCAACAATTGGCACCGCATCTCCCTGACCCTGCCGTGGTTCAAGGCCTTTCCCAGATTATTGGACGGCACTCTGCCAGTGCCAGCCTCCACCACCGAAAGCATTGCGTCGAGCAGCAGCTATGAAGATCTGGCCACCTCCAACCATTCTTATGGAGACGACTATTCCTATCCGCAGCACCAGGGATTTGTCCTGCCGCCCTTCAGGTTCCGCAAATCAAACAACTAGAAAGTGCCGATGGGACAGTACGGGATGGTCGGGCCACAAAGCGATGAAGCAGCAAAAAAAAATACAAATAAACCAAAACTTGAGTTCGATTCCTGCCCTAGACTGGACCCGTGACCGAAGCTGTGCTCCAGATCCAGATCTCACCGAAAGGGTAAGTAGATGAAAAGCATAGGATCTGCTAATCCTCCGCTGATCCTCTGCTCACTCTCCAGGACACAGGCGTGGCGGCTACAATTCTACTTTTTTGAGCTCCGCAATGAGCGAGAGAGAGGCAAAAAATTCCAATTGTAACTCCCGAGACGCCAATCGCCTCAGTGTGGGGAAACACAGACGGACACGTGTCCAGGAGGGGATCCGCATCCGTCCATATACCAAGCAGAAGCCCTATCCCAAACGGAGTCCCAATTTCAGACGAAGAAAGACGGAGAATGGGAGATTGATACAGATTATCGGAGAATACATTGAAATTTCTTTGTTTTGAGCGAGTACAAATTAAACGCACAACATTATTAGTTTTTGTTTTTGGTTTTTAGTCTTCCACAGTGTAATTAATAGATGCGATTGTAGATGTTTATTTTATTTATAATCCTTTCTTTTGTAAAAGAATTTTTCGTAATAAGTGCGACGCTTTTCCTCCTTCTCCTTAGCCTTGAGCGCGGCTTCCCTCTGCAATTTCTGCAAGGGCATCTGCTCCTTTTTGTAGCCAACCATCCAGTCACGCAGCGCCTTTTCAAGGTCCTGCAGAAGGGGGTTGTGGCTCGGGGGAATCTTAAATTCCCTAAAATACGATGTTGCGGACATGATTCCATTGAAATATTTCACAAAATCTAGATCCTTATCCGCATCCATGGGAAACACACCAGTCTCGAGCATTTCAAAGCTAAAGGAGACCAAAGGGAAATTGCAGAAATTCACCATTTTAGCATTTAAAATGGATCGGATCTCTCTAGAGAATACTCACGTGGGGAGGCGCTCGCACAAGTAGCGAATGCGGCGGCCACAATGCTGTTTGATGATACGCTCGTCAAAATGATCGCTTTCGCCCGCGAGATTCTCCAGAATCATTTTGCTGTTTAGCGACTCATCAGACCGGTTGTGTTCGTATATTTTGATAGAATAGATCTCATCCTGCTGGTCCGCCTCAATGATATGGGCAAACGTCTCGCGACACAAAAGTGCGGCACGGAGCTTCTCCGTTACGTCGGCCGGCCAAGTGTGATTCAGCGGATGGATATGCGAGAGTGCTCCCCTGACGGCCATGGCCGGAATATTGGTGAACACTTTTGGTAAAAACCGTAGTTCTTCGCTTGCACACTTCTCCAGACGGCCATAGTCCACGTAGAAGACAGAAACGTCCGTAGCATTCTCCTGTGGTGCGGACACAATGCGAACCCGCTTCCAGCCACCCCAATTTGAACGGGCGGCACAAATGTATCCAGGACGTAGGAAAAACCGAGTGATAGGCTTCTGGTATCTGTTTTCGTTGGGTAGGTGCCGTTTGTGGAAAAAGTCGCTGTGGTTAAATATGTACATTTTTTTTGAGCTGCTGTCCAAGAGGGTGGAATGGATACACGACAACTTACCTTATCTGCAAATGCAGATTTTCCAGATCGCGAGCATAATTTTCCTCAGCGATTTGGAACCAAAACTGAAAGGGGCTGTACACCTGAAAGACGAGGGATGATGAACGATGAATATCTCATCAATTCACACAGTTACTGATTTTTTGCTTCTTCAGAGGCAACACATACATTGGTTACAGTGATTTTGAATTTGTCTTGGCGTTTGGCGGCGTCCAAGGACAACAAGGAGAAGCGGCGCAGCTCCTGCTTCCACATCACTGCACATAAGGGTCTATCGATCATAAAAACTGAATCCGTCTGGAGACCAATAGATAATTTGTGGTTAAATAAATGTATATATTTAAATGGGGTGATGGTTTTTACTGACCAAACAACACTTCGGTATGGCCTGTCCACGGAAGCAATTTCCAGATTCCTTATCCTTTTCCTGCTTCTCCACTACGATGTCATCACTGTCGTAGCTATATGTCGAAGAAGCAGCAGTGCCATCTCCGATCAGCCCATCATCCTTGGATTTTACCAGCTGAGCTTTCGTCTCACCGGGCAGGATTATAGCCTCTTCCTTAAATGACGAGTCAGGCTGGGCCTCTTCCTTGAATGAAGAGTCAGGCTGTGCCTCTTCCTTGAATGAAGAGTCAGGCTGTGCCTCTTCCTCGAAAGACGAGTCAGGCTGTGCCTCTTCCTTGAATGAAGAGTCAGGCTGTGGCTCTTCCTCGAAAGACGAGTCATACTGCGCCTCTTCCTTGAATGAAGAGTCAGGCTGGGCCTCTTCCTTGAGTGAAGAGTCAGGCTGTGCCTCTTCCTTGAATGAAGAGTCTGGCTGTGCCTCTTCCTCGAAAGACGAGTCAGGCTGTGCCTTTTCCTTGAATGAAGAGTCAGGCTGTGGCTCTTCCTCGAAAGACGAGTCATACTGCGCCTCTTCCTTGAATGAAGAGTCAGGCTGGGCCTCTTCCTTGAGTGAAGAGTCAGGCTGTGCCTCTTCCTTGAATGAAGAGTCAGGCTGTGCCTCTTCCTTGAATGAAGAGTCAGGCTGTGCCTCTTCCTTGAATGAAGAGTCAGGCTGTTTCTCTTCCTCGAAAGACGAGTCATACTGCGCCTCTTCCTTGAATGAAGAGTCAGGCTGGGCCTCTTCCTTGAGTGAAGAGTCAGGCTGTGCCTCTTCCTTGAATGAAGAGTCAGGCTGTGCCTCTTCCTTGAATGAAGATTCAGGCTGTGCCTCTTCCTTGAATGAAGAGTCAGGCTGTGCCTCTTCCTTGAATGAAGAGTCAGGCTGTGCCTCTTCCTCATAAGACGAGTCAGGCTGTGCCTCTTCCATTAATGAAGAGTTAGGCTGTGCCTCTTCCTCGAAAGACGAGTCATACTGCGCCTCTTCCTTGAATGAAGAGTCAGGCTGTGCCTCTTCCTTGAGTGAAGAGTCAGGCTGTGCCTCTTCCTTGAATGAAGAGTCAGGCTGTGCCTCTTCCTCGAAAGACGAGTCAGGCTGTGCCTTTTCCTTGAATGAAGAGTCAGGCTGTGCCTCTTCCTCGAAAGACGAGTCATACTGCGCCTCTTCCTTGAATGAAGAGTCAGGCTGGGCCTCTTCCTTGAATGAAGAGTCAGGCTGGGCCTCTTCCTTGAATGAAGAGTCAGGCTGGGCCACTTCCTTGAATGAAGAGTCAGGCTGTGCCTCTTCCTTGAGTGAAGAGTCAGGCTGTGCCTCTTCCTTGAATGAAGAGTCAGGCTGTGCCTCTTCCTCGAAAGACGAGTCAGGCTGTGCCTTTTCCTTGAATGAAGAGTCAGGCTGTGCCTCTTCCTCGAAAGACGAGTCATACTGCGCCTCTTCCTTGAATGAAGAGTCAGGCTGGGCCTCTTCCTTGAATGAAGAGTCAGGCTGGGCCTCTTCCTTGAATGAAGAGTCAGGCTGGGCCACTTCCTTGAATGAAGAGTCCGGCTGTGCCTCTTCCTCGAAAGACGACTCAGCCTGTGCCTCGATCTTCTCATGGTTGATATATTCTTTTTTATTGGCGCATGCATGGCCGTCCAACAATGGAGCGAAGTCAAGGACGCTGTTGTCGTCTCCACTTTCAACGAATGGGAATCGAGCTTTATTTTCCGTCTAAAAATGTACCAATTCTTAGTGAGAATACAGTTTACTGGAATTTCACTTACCTGACCGACGAAGAACGCATTTTCATTATTTTGGTTGTATTTCCCTATAATGCCTTCAATGCGCGTCGCAGTTTCGAGCACGAGGCACTCCACATCGCTTTGCTTCTGACCATGGCAAGAGGAGAAATTAGTTGCCAGGTTGATATTCGTCGGTTTTCCCATGCCGTAATCGTTGTTCTTTTGTTTAATTTATTAACAAACGCTTTCCTGCTCCTTAGTGCACACATAAACAGCCAGCAAACAGCAACGCGCAATACGTACGTAATTTTGAGTAACGGAATTCTTGTCCACAAACCTACAATGGCCATATGACATTAGCCCTTGTTCAATAGCTACAAAAATATCCTATGGGAAAAGCAGACAGTGAGAGTGAGACAAATATATGTGTCAGCTTGGTTTTCCAGTTAATCTGGAAGCAGCGCCGCGGCAGAGATGATCGATTTCGGTTGGCTGTGTGTGTGTTGAAAGACCATCGACTGATAGCCGGGACACGTGTCTGGAGATAGCCCCGAACACCAATTTTGCGTTATGTCTTAAAAGCTATCTCTCGCTTTGCATTAAAGTTAGTAAATTTGAATGTCATGACACCATAAATGAATTGAACACAGGTGAACTATCGATAATCTTTTAAAATATTTGCATTGTGGTTGGTCACTAACCATACAGTATATAGATGTGCCAGTTCATACAACGAAAGTGTCACACACCGACTTGCGCTATCCGTACCCCAGAGTGACGTCATCATGAGTGAGAGAGCGCAGAGAGAACATCTTTGCATGTGTTAGTACACACGCAATATGTTTCGACAAAAATATGTGATTGTATGTTTTTTCAGATTTTTTGAACTCTCTCAGGTCTGATCTGTTTTGCCACCAGCATGTTTTAGTGTATGGGTGCACATGCATTCTCACGTACTTTGCGTGTGTGTGTTTACTATTGCTGGCCGCTAGAACTGAAATTTGAGTTTGGTTCTTGTTTCGGGTCTTTTGATGGACTGACCTACCGCCACAAAATAAATGAAGAATGGGCAGGGGGTGGGGGTATGGTACACTAGGGCGCGGGAAACAAAATAAAAGCTTATTTGTTATTTGTTTGATTTATACCACAAAATATAAAATATTACAATAATATAATTACACATTTATTTCCTTATTTTAAACAGGTTGATTATAAATTATACAAATTATGCAAACGCCGTCGGTTCTCGACGTTTTGTTTATATCAAAGACTATACAATACCAAAGACTATACAATACCAAGGGGTTTCAATTCCCTTTTCGCCTGTACTTCGTCTCTACCGCGACCCCGCTGCCCATCGGTTTCGTCTGTTCGGCAATTCTGGACTCTTGAGCCTCAGCACCGTCGAAGCGGTGGTCGCGGATCGCCGATGTCTTTGGAGCGGCACAGTGGGAAAATTCGATTGGAAAATTCTCTATCAGAATTTATCTAAAGCACTCATACAATTTTTTTACTATTTCGGCTGAGTCCCCACTGTGCCGCGCCAAAGACATCAGCGACCACGCTGCCCTACGGTTTCAGCACGCAGACGATTCATATTTTGTTTTTGTATTCTTTCTCTCGAGACACACCGACTCGACGCTGACCGGGCAGCATTAATTTTGAAAACCCTCATGCAATATACGAATGTAATAAACTTTAATATTTATGTGCAAGTTAACGTACCCAATTCCATTGAGCTCTTATACGAGTTGTAAACAATCTTTGGTTTTCCAAAACGAAAACAATTTCAATCTTGGGCCTCCGCCTAATTGATTTCTAAGATGTACAATCTCAAGCGCCCCCGCCGCAATCCCATTCTTTGACACTCGCCTAAATGGAAAACCAATGTTTGCCCACACCCGGCTTCTCATAAACAATCTCACTCCCGGCTTTCTGCAGATCCTGCACTTTAGGCCTTTTACAGTTCTCTCTTTGGATGACGAAATCTAATACTCGGGATGGCGAAATCAATTGAAATGTTTATAGAAAAACGATTCCCGAAAGGGATCAACGATGCAAAGATCAGAAAGTTCAAAGCAGTCTTGATCCAGCAGCGACACCGCAAAGTCTAGCTAAATATTAAGATCGCGCAATCCCTTGGCCCGGAATTCCTTTGTGACCCTCTACTTAAATCTATATCAGTGAAGTTCGAAGTAAAATAAAAACTTTTTAAAAACACAATCCGCTACCGCAGTTGTTTAATTGGCGCCCAACGTGGGGCGACGTTGTCTAAAAAGCACCGAATGATAAAAGTGTTGCGTCGTGCCGAAACCCGAAGGACAATTAATTAATGGAATAAATCCTTCAAAATTAAAAACGCGGAGTGACTGTGTGATATAGATAAAAAAAAGTGAGATAAAAAGGAAACAAACCGGAGCTTAGGGTGTGCAAAAACAAATACAAATACAAATACAAATACAAATACAAATACAAATACAAATACAACGCAAAATACAAATAAAACAAAAAGCTAATCAAGGCAATTCGTAAATACAAAAAAAACCAAAGAAACCCAAAGTTTTTAAAAAAACAAAACCAACAAAACCGACAAAACCAAAATACAAAGAAAGTGAAACGATCAGCGAAGCCAAAGAAGGAAGACCCCCAGAAGACCCAGCTGAGCAAAGAAATTTAAGAAGGAAGACCCGTTCGAAGATCTGCCAAACTAAGAAGGACGACCCCTACCGGATATTTCGTGAGCAAGAGTTGTATTAATAAATATATAAGTTCAATTAGGATATATAAGATTATAAAAACTAACATATAAGAAAAATTAAAAGTGGATCAGCTAACTTTAGATTTTGAAAAACTAAAAATGATTAACTCTCAAGCAAGGACCGATCTCACAGCAGATCTGGTCAAACAATTGATAGCACTTCAAATTTCACAAGTACAAGAGCAAATTGTAAATTTAAAACAACAAATAGAAACTAAATCCGATCAGGTATCGGATTATCAGGCAGAAACAATAGACGAGACAATAAGAGACGACACCACATTGAAGGTAATAGAATCCCTACCAATTTTTAATGGTGGATTAAACCAATATGTAGGATGGAGGGAAGCTGCAGAAACTGCAGTGAAGTTATATAAGAAAGGAAGTAAGCAATATTATATTGCATTAACAATTTTGAGAAACAAAATAACAGGACCAGCACATGACGCACTGACCAACCACGGGACAGTTCTAAATTTTGATGCCATACTTTCACGGCTTGACTTTGTTTACAGTGACAAGAGACCTATTTACATAATAGAACAGGAATTAAGCGTTCTCCGACAAGGGAACCTTTCAATTATAGATTTCTATAACGAGGTTAACAAGAAAATGACCTTGTTAATAAATAAGACAATAATGACTCACGGAAAGGACAGTGAGATCACCAAGGAATCAAATAAAAAAATTAGAGACAATGCCTTACGCATTTTTGTCACTGGCCTAAACGGCGGCATTGCTGAAATCCTATTTTCATTGAATCCCCCAGATTTACCGAATGCCTTAGCAAAGGTACAGGAATTGCAATCTAATAACATTCGGGCCCAATTTGCCTACCAATTCAGCGGTCCCAGAAATTCAGGGAATAATAATTTTAATACCTTAAGATTCAACCAACGACAACCTAGGACTAACAGTTCACCATTCGACCAAAAAAGGGATTTGCAGAGGAATAACATGTCTTGGGGACAACCCTATTTCTTGGGTAATAGACAACAAAATCAGGCCCCAGAACCAATGGAGGTAGACGAATCTATACAAATCCGGAACCGACAGAACAGCAATCAATTCAGGGGAAATAATAACAATAGAAATTATCGGGAGAATACTAACGGTTATTTTAGGAGAAATAATAACAATTATAGCCAAGCCCAGCATTTTAGGGCAAACGTAGTCCCGAATAATCAGTCTAACGACAATCCAGCGCAGAAACGAAAACTAAACGAAATGTCGGAACAACCGGCTAATAAAGCAATGAGGATAAATAACATTGAGGAGGATCATTTTTTAGATCAGCCCCCGAAGTAGGTCTGCCCTACCTAAAAAGAGTAGACAAAAAAATAAACAGAGAATTAAAAGTTTTGATAGATACGGGAGCAACTTCCTGTTATATAAAAAAAGGAATTTACGACAATAAAAATGAATTACCAATCTATAAGAAAGTTGCTACAGTGAATGGGTTTTCAATAATTAAATATTTCCATAATATAACAATTTTCAACACAAAGCAAGTGTTTTATGAAATAGATGGAATGGAGGCAGATTTACTAATAGGATTTAACCTATTAAAGAAAATCGGAGCGGTTATTGATACAGGAAAGGGGACTTTAAGTTATAAAGACAATGAGGAGAAACTAATATATGACGAGGTCCTTTCTTTAAACAAATTAACCTTTATAGAAGGAAAAACCATCCTTCCGTTGAAGGAATATATAATAAAAAAATATTTTGAAGAAGAAAAAGAAATGAAAAGCGATTCAGTAAAGGTAGAAGGAAGTTTATATAGCTTGGGATCAAAAAATCCTGAGCACGCCGACGAAGAATTATCCGTCAATAGTTTGGGATTCAAATATCCTGAGCCCGCCGTCGTTGAATTATCCGACATCCAAAGTTTTAATAGTTTGGGATTAAAATATCCTGAGCACGCCGTCGTTGAATTATCCGACACTAAAAGTTCGAATAGTTTGGGATTAAAGAATCCTGAACACGCCGTCGTTGAATTATCCGACAATAAACAATTTAAAAGTTTGGGATGCAAAAATCCTGAACGCGCCGTCGTAGAAATATCCGACATTCAAAATTATGCAAATTCTGAATTGAAAAAAATGAAATTGTATAACACAATAACCTACAAAGAGGACAATTTAGAAAATCTCAGAGAGAAAATGGTATCTATCATCGAAGAAGACCATGCCAATATAAATTTACAGTTACCGTTCAGAACGGATATAAAAGGAGAGATTAACACTGAACACGATAGACCGGTATATGGCAAGCAGTATCCATACGCTTATTCGGTTAACGATTTCGTTAATAACGAAATAAGTAAAATGTTAGATGAAGGTATAATCAGACCTAGTAAAAGCCCATATAATTCACCGGTAATAGTAGTACCAAAGAAGGGAGTAAATGAGGACGGAACTCCTAAGCATAGATTAGTAATAGACTTTAAGAAACTTAATGAAAACACTATACCGGATAGATACCCTATGCAAGATCCTTCAGTAATCCTTGCCAATTTAGGTAAAGCGAAATATTTCTCGGCCATTGACTTAGAGTCAGGTTTCTATCAGATTTTAATGAGGGAATCAGATATTGAAAAAACATCTTTTTCCATAAATAACGGCAAATATGAATTTCTAAGAATGCCTATGGGATTGACGAACGCTCCCAGAATTTTCCAAAGGGCAATGGACGATATACTTAGAGAACAAGTTGGGAAAACTTGTCACGTTTATATGGACGATATAATAATATTTTCAAAAACTATAGAACAACATTATAAAGATCTAATTCATATAATTCAGATATTGCAAAACGCTAACATGAAAATTTCACTTGAAAAGTCTAAATTCTTTCAATTGGAAACCAAATTTCTGGGATACATTGTTTCCCAAAATATCATTAAAACAGATCCAGACAAAATCTCCACAATACAAAACTATCCAATTCCTAAAAATATCAGAGAGCTACGTAGCTTCTTAGGACTAACAGGGTATTACAGAAAATTTGTCCGAAATTATGCCACAATTGCCAAACCTTTAACAAAATATCTGAGCGGAGTAAATGGGAAAGTTTCACGAAGGGCATCCAAGAAAGCATTAATACAGCTGGATGAACCAGCAATTGGAGCATTTAATAATTTAAAGGACAGTTTAATAGCACATATTGAATTAGTACAACCAGATTACAATAAAAAATTCACATTAACCACAGATGCATCGGACATAGCAATAGGTGCAGTTTTGTCGCAAGATGGGAATCCCATAACATTTATTTCTAAAACTTTAAGTAAAACCGAGCAATTATATGCTACTAATAAAAAAGAATTATTAGCTATTGTATGGGCATTAAAAAATTTGCGAAATTATTTATACGGAGTGAGTGGAATTGAAATACATACAGATCACCAACCTTTGTCCTTTGCAATGTCGCAAAAAAATCCAAATGTTGAAATGAAACGTTGGTATTACTTCATAGAAAGTTTCACACCAAAAATCATTTATAAGCCAGGCTCAACTAACGTAGTAGCGGACGCGTTATCTCGGATTAAAATAAATCATATGACAGATAGTGATGTCGACCAGACAGAATCAGAATCAGACATAAATACTCAGCATTCAGCAGAGAGTAGTTTCGAAAACGTCATTCAAGAGACTAGCAAGCCTCTAAACCAATTTAAACAGCAGCTACTATTAGCGCAAGGGAGATTCACAGTTCATGAGTTAGTAAGAGTTTATGAAAATACCCGACATATTATTGAATTTGATACGGTTGACAATCTGCTAATCATTTTAAAAGAATTTATTCAGCCTCACTTAACCACAGGAATACACTGCACTTTAGAAGATTTATACCTTATCCAAAATAAGCTAAAGGAAAACTTCATAAATAAATTTCTCTTCACAAGAAAGTTCCTCCAAGATGTAGTAAATTCAGAAGATAAAGCTATAATTATAGAAGAAACACATTGCAGAGCCCATAGAGGACTAGACGAAAATTACAAACAAATAACTAAGCTGTATTATTGGCCAAACCTGCACAAAAAATTAAAAGAATATATAAAAAATTGTGAGATCTGTAACAAAAACAAATATCGGAGACACCCTGTAAAAATTCCAATTGGGGAAGCTCCCATTCCAGCAAAAGAAGGAGATCAATTACACTTAGACATATACTATGCCCAAAACCTAACATTCATAACTTGTATAGATTCTTATTCCAAATACTTGGTGGTCAAGGAAATTCAAAGTAAATTAAACATTGAAAATAAGGTAATGGAAATTTTACAACACTTTCCGTTAGCAACATCATTAATGACTGACAACGAACCAAGCTTTACTTCAGCACAATTTAGATCATTCATACAAAGAAGTAACTTAACTATTTATTATGCTGATCCCAGACACAGCACCTCAAATGGTCAGGTAGAAAGGGTACATTCCACACTAACAGAAATAGCGCGGTGCATCAAGGATGAACTAAATCTAACAGATTATTCAGAAATAATAATAAGGGCGGCACTGAAATATAACCTGACGATACATTCAACGACCAATCAAATGCCATATGACATATTGTATAACAAAATAGAACACAAACATAATCCAATATTACTTAAGGAAGCTCAGACCAAAATGCTTAAGATACATAACAAAGATAGAAGAGAAAAAGATTATAAAATAGGAGAAGTAGTCTATGAAAAGAAATTCGGGGAAAGAAATAAACTTCAATCCCGATACAAAAAGCAGGTAGTTAAGGAAAATCGACCGAATAAAATTATAATCAACAATAGAAACAGAATTATACATAAAGATAACATCAAATATTAAATATTTTTTCCAGAAAATGTATGCGAATATACTAATACTGACTTTTGTTATATTGACGACTGCGGAAGTAATTGACTATACGCATAGTGACTATCTATTGCTCAAAGACGACAGAGACGTTTACACTTATGAAACATACGCTGAACTTTTCCATATTACTAATTTGAGTTTTTATAGAGAGATAATTGATAAAGAATCCAAATATGTCAACAAATCAATTAATTCAGACGATGAGTGGGAAATATCAATGGACTTAAGTCTATTAAAATTAATGATTTCAGAATTAGTTCCAAAACGGAAAGAAAGGGGAATAAATGAATTAGGTACCATTTGGAAATGGATAGCAGGCAGCCCTGATCATGACGACTTTTTGAAAATACAAAATAAAGTAAATGAATTAACTGAAAATAATAATAAACAATTTGTAATAAATTCCAAATTTTTCAAAGAAATTGAATTGCTATCAAATTCATTAAAGAATGTCATCTTCAATGAAGAAACGATACTGAGAAAGCATCGTTTAAAATTAATAACTTTTGACCTACTAAATTTAGTTGATACCATAACCCTCTTAAAAGTAAACATTTTCAATACAAAAATTTTAAATAAAAACGAAATAGAGGACATTTATAAGCATGAAAAACATAATGTTGAACTGTCTGATCTGTTGGACATTGCAACGGTTAAAATAATTCGAAATGCAGATTTAATAATCATTTACATAAAATATCCTCAAATTAAAGATATTTGCAAGTTTTACCATGCAAGAGCCATCTCACAAAATGATGGAATGTTAGTTATAAGTGAAAAAGTTTGTGAATGTAAGGAGAAATACTATTTAATGAATAATTTTAAAAGTGAAACTTTTAACAATTACGCACAAATAAATTTAAAGAGTACCTGTTTCACCAATTTACTTAATGGCTTTAAAGCCAACTGCACTAAAAAAAGGGAAAAAAAACAAAGAAATAGACATCATTCAGGATGGTGCCATATTAGTTTCAGGCAAAAATATCGTAGACAATACTACTTTGTTAGGATCGTATCTCCTTATATTCAACAACACAATTGTAATAAATAATATAAGCCACATAAATGATAAGGGTAAAATTCTAAAATATATATCGCATCATAGATATAGCGATTTTGAATTAGTTGATTATATACAATCAAATGATAAGCAATTTTCTTTTGATAATGTTAATATTTTAAATCCCCTTATAACATTAGGTAATACGGCCTTACCATTAACAACATTATTTTTAATCATTTTGATATTGTTAATGTTATTTTACTTCTGCTATAAATTAACCAAATTTGTACTTATTAAATCAATAAGAATACCGTCAGAAGAAATAGTGGAAAGCAACATTCAAATACTGTCAGAAGAAATTAGAGCTCTATCAGAACTTCAAAATGTATCGGGACGAAACATTTAAGAATGGGGGGAGTTAACGTACCCAATTCCATTGAGCTCTTATACGAGTTGTAAACAATCTTTGGTTTTCCAAAACGAAAACAATTTCAATCTTGGGCCTCCGCCTAATTGATTTCTAAGATGTACAATCTCAAGCGCCCCCGCCGCAATCCCATTCTTTGACACTCGCCTAAATGGAAAACCAATGTTTGCCCACACCCGGCTTCTCATAAACAATCTCACTCCCGGCTTTCTGCAGATCCTGCACTTTAGGCCTTTTACAGTTCTCTCTTTGGATGACGAAATCTAATACTCGGGATGGCGAAATCAATTGAAATGTTTATAGAAAAACGATTCCCGAAAGGGATCAACGATGCAAAGATCAGAAAGTTCAAAGCAGTCTTGATCCAGCAGCGACACCGCAAAGTCTAGCTAAATATTAAGATCGCGCAATCCCTTGGCCCGGAATTCCTTTGTGACCCTCTACTTAAATCTATATCAGTGAAGTTCGAAGTAAAATAAAAACTTTTTAAAAACACAATCCGCTACCGCAGTTGTTTAATTTGCATATGTATGTACATAAGATATTTTATAATTGAATTAGAAAATTTATGGGTATTGTCCATGAGAGTATTCAAGGTGCGACCGGCATCTAAATTTGTACTTTGCAGATTCCCGTCGGAAAGCGCGCGATTGACAATTGATTTGAAATATATGTAAAACCAATTCCATTTATATTTATGCATATTTATTTAAGTATAATTTGTTTGCATAATTTGTATAATTTATAATCAACCTGTTTAAAATAAGGAAATAAATGTGTAATTATATTATTGTAATATTTTATATTTTGTGGTATAAATCAAACAAATAACAAATAAGCTTTTATTTTGTTTCCCGCGCCCTAGTGTACCATACCCCCACCCCCTGCCCATTCTTCATTTATTTTGTGGCGGTAGGTCAGTCCATCAAAAGACCCGAAACAAGAACCAAACTCAAATTTCAGTTCTAGCGGCCAGCAATAGTAAACACACACACGCAAAGTACGTGAGAATGCATGTGCACCCATACACTAAAACATGCTGGTGGCAAAACAGATCAGACCTGAGAGAGTTCAAAAAATCTGAAAAAACATACAATCACATATTTTTGTCGAAACATATTGCGTGTGTACTAACACATGCAAAGATGTTCTCTCTGCGCTCTCTCACTCATGATGACGTCACTCTGGGGTACGGATAGCGCAAGTCGGTGTGTGACACTTTCGTTGTATGAACTGGCACATCTATATACTGTATGGTTAGTGGGTTGGTGCAGCAGTATATCGGCGCCGATGTATCGCTTCTGTTTGGGAAAGATCGCTATCGACAGCAGCTCTGAGTTTGTTTACCACGCACGTGCTGTGGCCTAAATTGTTATTAAATTTACTTAAAATGGACAGTGAAGCAGATGATTATGAGCTGACCGGCTCCGAGCAGGAGTATGATGAAGATGAGCGCGAGATCCTGGAAGACCTGCGCAAGCAGCGTAACAAGCGCAAGCAAGACGCATCTGCACCACAGGAGATTTTAGCATTCAGCGATGAAGATGAGGAGGAGGATGACAATGTTGCTGACCTGATGCGCGACAGCGACATCGAAGGGGCCGACGATGATGATGCCCACTTGCCTAACACCATGGACTGGGGCACCAGGCGAAGCACCTACTACAACACAGACTTTGTGGACCCCGACTACAGCAGCTACAACGCCCAGGAGGAGGAGGAGGCTAAGGCCGAGGAAGAGGAGGCCAAAAAGATTCAGCTGCGCCTGGCCAAGCGATTTAGCGAGGCTGACTTCCAGCTAGACGATGTGCCTGCTGCCATCAGTGACGAAGAGGTGGACGGCGATGTTGCCAAATCTGGCATCAAGGTTACCGCCGATCTGACAGGTCTCACGGGGCGCGAGCGCCTGCAGCTGCTACAGAAGGACTCGCCCGAGTTCCTCGGCCTCACCCAGGACTTCCATCTGCATTTGGGCGAGGTTCAACAGCTGATTACGCCCGTGCTCAACTACGTGCGCAACCATCAAGTGCCCATGGTGCCGGCCCTGGAGTTCGCCAGTGTCTACCACAACGTCCTGGCCACCTACTGCTCCAACGTGTCCTACTACCTGCTGCTCAAGGCCAGGCGCAGCAATGTCAAGCTGCATCCCGTGATAAAACGTCTCGTGCAACTGAAGCAGCTGCGTGAGCAACTGACGTCACGCTATGACACGTACATCAAGCCCCAGCTGGAGGCCCTGCTCGAACGCATCCAGGATGGTGATGCCTTCACAGTCCTCGATGTGGCTCAGCGCAAGGCCAAACTACAGATCCTCAACAAATTCGAGCAGAGAAACGAAAAGGAGAACGGCACAGCGACAGCTGAAGACATAAGTGGTGACAGCAGCGACGACGAAGACGCTCAGCTGATGCCTGACCAACAGGACGATGATGAGGACCCTGAAGCCGAAGCTGTGCGCCGCGGCATCACGTATCAAATGGCCAAAAACAAGGGACTCACCCCACATCGCAAGAAGGAGCTGCGCAATCCCCGTGTAAAGCATCGCGGCAAATACCGCAAGGCACTCATCCGACGCAAGGGCGCCGTTCGTGCTGTACGCAAGGAGACGCAACGCTATGGCGGCGAAATGTCTGGCATTAAGGCCACCGTAACCAAGAGCGTCAAATTCCGCACATAAATAAAGAACATGCCATTGCTATTCCACATTTTGTACATTTATTTACTTTGTTTCATTCATAAACTGCTGTGCGGCATATGCCGGAAATGGTGGGTGGGGAACAACATTAAAGCACGTCCGTACGCATGGCGTATAATTGTGTGGCGGGTGTGCGGGCGCGGAGAAGGTTTCCTTGCCCTCCTACAATTAGAAAAAAAAAAAAAGAAAACAAAAAATCGTCACAGACGCGCCTGTTCTAGAAAACAAATTAAACTTAAAGTAATTCTAATTAAAGTTCTAGTTTCATTTTTCAGCCTAGTAGTTTACGAAAATCTTCGTTGGACTTGGGCTTCTCTGGCGATGTTAATGGTGTATTGCAGGAATCTGGGTTTGTAGCTGGGGCTATAGCTGTGGCTTTGTCCCCATCTTTCATATCCACATCCTCTGTCTTGGTGGCCGCATCTGCCTCGTTATCAAGCGACAGCACCTTGCGACGCTTAGTGGCCAGCATCTCACGGGTCACAATACTCGGTATTAGCGATGTGGCCACACGACGTTTGGCTGTCGTGATGTTCGAGGTCTTTGGTGGGGGATCAGAAATGGCAACAGATAGCTGGTGGAGGCAATGATTAGATTTCTGCAAGCTCTTTTGTTCCTTGGGAGAATATTTTCTTACCACAGATCCGTTCAGATTATGGCCATTCAATTGTTCAACAGCCTTCTGGGCTGATTCAGCCTGCTCGTATTCAATGTAAGCAATGTTTTTGCGTGTCTTGTACTGTCGGCTGCCGATTGGTAGCTTTTTCTGGACTATGCGAACATCCTTCAACGTGCCACAGGTGGCAAAGAGTTCGTTAAGAGTTTCAGTTGTCGCATTTGGCAGTATGTTCTTAACAAACAGTTTGGTTTTTTCGAGTTCCGCTGAAATCAAACATAATATATGTAGTTTATATATTCTTACGTTTCTTTCTTTTGTTACTCACTTGAGTACTTGAGACCTGAGACTGGTGGTGCTGCTGTGGCACGAGGTGCTGCTGTGGCGCGTGGTGCTGCTGTTGTGGCGCGTGGCGGCACTGCTGCTTTGGCGCGTGGTGCTGCTGTGGCACGTACTGATGCTTGGGCTCGCAATGGTGGCTGAGACGTCCTGTACGGTTTTCTCTCTCTTAGTTGCTCGCGGGCATGCTGCTGGTATCTGTGAATGCCATAGTTGCGCTCTGCCGGCAGTTTTATCTTCTGGCATGTGGTTATGGACTTGTAGTCCCCATGGCAGCGCTCGTAGCGACGATATTGTTCGAGAACAAAATTACCATCCTTCAGGAAACGCTGCTTCAGGGCCAAATTCAGAACATCGCGACAACGAACACCGCCATTAAACTGCGACTCCATTTGGGCCCACGTCATCCAAAGGTAACCGCTCTGCTGACTTTTATCGAAAGCTGCGCAAAAGAAAAATGTAAACATTTTTAGAAATACGAAGAAAAGTACTTGCAGGGCATTGCAGGGCAAGGCCAACAAAACAAGCGCTTACACATGATGTACTCCCAGATTTTGTAGCCCAGTGCTGGATTCTTAAATTTGGCATACTCCACTTGGGCATACAGCTGGAGCACCTCATAGCTGGTGTCGGCCTCCTCGCCGTACAAGTCGGAGAGTGTATTCCAGGCTCCATCGAATCTCTCACGCACGCGTGTGCACTGATCGCTGTCCGATACATCGCACTGGCGTACCATAAACGCCAAGTAGTCCAAATGCAGCTCCACCGTCGCCTTTATGTTGACAGCCAGTCTGTGGAAGATACCCTTCAGCACGTTATCCACCTCCTGAACGGTGTGTCCTTCGGTCTCCATTAAATGGATGAGCTTGTGGTTCACCAGCTTGCTGTATGTGCTCATCGCAGCGCGTTTGGCCAGATCCAGGGCGCTGCTGATCTGGTACCCGCCAGTGGGTCGCTTGACACTCTTGTTTGTGAAGTTTATGTAGTCGAGCCAAACTCGTTCGATTTGCGGAAAATGCGAGATGGTTATTTCAAATACCACGCAGGCCAAAGAATCACGAATCTCGTCGGTGTAGTCCATATTATTGATTTCCTCCAGTTGGAGAATGTGGACCGGGGTTAAGCGCTCCCAGTCGACGGGCTCACGCGGATCCTGTATGAGGGGGCTCAGCCATTTCTTGTATCGGTCCAAAAGCTCAACCAACTCGGTGCACTTCTCTTCATCAGAGTTCCAGTTCATGCAGCGACTTTCCATCTCCGCTTTAAAAGCATCTGCTTGTTTGTCTGCATCTGGCGCAGAGGCCAAGAGTTCTCGCAGTTTTTCTATAAAAAAGGGATTCTCCAAAGAGTACTTGGACATCAGCGACGACCACAGCTTGATGTTGCTGCAGTTCTTCTGGCCAAGCAAATAGTTGCATATTAAATTGGCCAAATCGACATCTACAGGTGACAAATGACAAGATAAATAAGATGGCAAAAGGGGCGATTAAGTGCTGCTGCTGGGCTTACCATAATAGGAGTTCAAGGCTTCGGCGCAATCCTCCTGGAATGCAACATGCTCATCGGGAGAATGGGTCACCAGGAGACGGACGTGCAGGTATTTGCGCCATAATTCTGGTGGCATTATGGCAATCTTTTTGAACTGCACAGCAGCCTCCATAATCGAATCATATTCGTTCAGTTTGCTGCGGATAAAACAACATTACAGTCATTATTGTGTAATTTCTTGCAATTAGTTATACGTACTAGGCTATCTCGCTCATCCGCATCACTTGGCGGTACGTCAAGTTACTATAACTCGAAAATTTGTCAAACTCTGCTTTCAGCTCCTGCTCCTGGTATTCGCTCATCGACTCGGAGTCGGTGTCGGAATCTGATTCCGAGCTTATTTCAATGGGAGCTAAGTTTACCAGTTCAACGGTGTTGGGAGTCTTGATGACATCGCCGGCATTTTGAGCCTGAAAAAATTTGTTCATGTTAATTTTCACAGGCGACTGGTGACTGGCGACTGGCGACTGGCGACCACAAGCATAAACCACTTACCACTTCAGGTACTTCACTATCCATTTTAACAAATTCTTTTCTTTTATGATAGCTTTATATGCAGCCTTGATGAAGCAGAAATTATTTTTTACGCGCGAATAATCTGGATAATAATTTGCGGCGTCGGGGAAAAGAATTACACGGTAACTACACATTTGCTACATAATGGGAGGAAAAATGGTCACCCTGGAAAGAAGTATGGATTAGTATATCGATAGTCCCGAGATTTTAAACTTATTGCCCTGAATCGGTATTTTTTACTCCAATATCGGCTGTTACCATCATGTGTGAAATAACGCATGTTATTTATAGCTAGTATATTTCAATGAAAAAATGGTTTCAAAGTTATTATTATCGACTCTACCATATTGTTAATTAAATAATTAGCTATTAATACAATATGTCTTCTTATCGATGTATTAAAATGCTCAAAGAACTTGATATATTGACCATAGAAAAAACACAGTTTACTCGAATTTTTTAGAACACATTCAATTTTATAAAACGCTATACTGCCACTTCACTTCACTGCAATGAGAAAAGGATGGGATGCAGTGTGAGCGAGAGAAATAAGAAATAAGGTTATCTCTGTCTACAATTATTCAGTCAGCAAAGTCTGTAATTACATCAATAATTTTGTATGGTCGCACTAGGCAGTTTTTCGAGCAGAAAGCATTATGGCCACACTGCTCCCGCTCTGCACTTTCTATATATTGCCCCTATATTTCCCTACTCTCGCGAATTAATTTGTTTGTGTTCTCGTAAACGTCCGCGTCGTCACGTCGCTAAACAGCAACAACACACAAGCACAAACAACGAAGATATCAACGACGCAGTTGTGATTTGGAAATGTTATTGCTCCAGTAAAGTGCAACCACAAGCGGAAAAACTAACAACTAACAACAAAACATGGAGTCCTTGCAACACCTGCTGCTGCTGACGTCTCTACTCCTGGTGGCCGGCGGCGGCATTGGCTTCATCCCCCAAGTGGTGGGGGCTGATCAGGAGGAGGTCAGCATTGTCCACTACCAGCCGGAGCAAGTGCATCTGGCCTTTGGCGGTGAGTCTTTCATTATATAAAATGCCTTTTTATGTTCGTGCATTTGTTTATCTGTGAGAATGAGTGTGTGTGCATGCATGCATAATGTGTCCAAATGAACAGCGCTTTCTCACCCATCGACTGTACAATCCCAGCACAAAATATTGCAAGCAAATCAAATCGCGCACTGGTTCCCTCCACTCCCAACCCCAATCCCAAGGGCGGGGGAACGTTCCAGTTGCTACAGCTCCACCCATCGCCACATGCATGTCAATCGCCCCCAAGTGGAGCAAAGGCAGACTGATGGACGACTGCACTCAGGGGAACTGTTGGCTAATTGTAATAATTATCAGTACAGATTACGCATTCGATTTCGTTTTGGGGGGAAAAACTCGTCTTGAATCTCCTGCAGCTGTCATAGCTGTACTCTCTTTTAAAGATAACCGCCCAAGTAAACATATTGGGAAAACAAATACTATTTCCAAATTTAGAACTCGGACCTGAAACGTGTGTGTGATGTGGGGCTAACCCCTATTATTATAGCGATAAGGGCGTAATCTGAGCAGCTTTTGTGCGCTAGTTTCTGTGGAACCGAATGCGATAAGAAAACCATAACAAAAGAGCTAGGGAACAAAGCAAACAAAAACAAAAAAACAAGAGAAATTAATCAGCAACGACATTTGATCTTGAATGCCTCTGATGCACTTTTTGAAACGAATACCGAACCAAACCCCCTTTTTGGCCAAAAACGAAATTGCTCAAGTTTGTTTCTCTCTTCTGCATTCCCACATTCTTGGCTTCAACCTCGCCAGAGCGCACCGCAAGCGAGATGGTTGTCACCTGGTCAACGCGCAGCTTGCCGCCGGATACGGCCAGCGTTGTCGAGTACGGACTGATAGTGGCCGGACAGGCACCCTCCAGGCTCAATCAGCGTGCCCAAGGCACGGCCACCAGGTTCGTGGATGGCGGCCGTAAGCACTCCACGCAGTTTATCCACAGGGTATGCGTTTAGATCTGTACAGCGAGCGGAGTCCGAGCGAGACACTCATCCACCCTGCTCTCATTGCCTCCACTTAGGTGACGCTTAGCCAGCTGGAGGCGAACTCCTCCTATGCCTATCACTGCGGCAGCGCCCTCGGCTGGTCGGCCGTCTATCAGTTTCGAACGGTACCCGACGCCGACGCGGACTGGTCGCCCTCGCTGGCCATCTACGGGGACATGGGAAACGAGAATGCCCAGTCGCTGGCCCGTCTGCAGCAGGAGACGCAGCAGGGAATGTACGATGCCATCATTCATGTGGGTGACTTTGCCTACGACATGAACACGAAGGAGGCGCGCGTCGGGGATGAGTTTATGCGGCAGATCGAGACAGTGGCCGCCTACCTACCTTACATGGTGGTGCCGGGCAACCACGAAGAAAAGTTGTGAGTAGTCGGTGGAGGTGTGTAGGAAAGGTCTAATACTGTGTGGTTTCCGTGCAGCAATTTCTCCAACTATCGAGCCCGATTCAGCATGCCGGGTGGGACGGAGAACATGTTCTACAGTTTCGATCTGGGGCCCGTGCACTTCATCGGCATCTCGACGGAGGTCTACTACTTTATGAATTACGGCGTCAAGAGCCTGGTCTTTCAGTACGAATGGCTAAGGAGGGACCTGGAGCAGGCCAATCTGCCTGAGAATCGCTCGAAGCGTCCGTGGATCATCATCTATGGCCATCGGCCCATGTACTGCAGCAACGAAAACGACAACGACTGCACCCACTCGGAGACCCTCACCAGAGTTGGCTGGCCCTTTGTCCACATGTTCGGACTGGAGCCGCTCCTCTATGAATTTGGCGTGGATGTTGCCATCTGGGCCCACGAGCATTCGTACGAGCGTCTGTGGCCCATTTACGATTACGAGGTGCGCAATGGAACGCTCCAGGGCTCGCCCTACGAGAATCCCGGTGCGCCGGTCCATATTGTGACGGGTTCGGCCGGGTGCAATGAGGGACGTGAGCCGTTCAAGGGTAAAATACCCGAATGGAGTGCCTTCCACAGCCAGGACTATGGCTATACCCGCCTCAAGGCCCACAATCGCACCCACTTGCACTTCGAGCAGGTCTCCGACGACCAGAACGGAGCCATCATAGATCAATTCTGGCTAATCAAATCTCATCACGGCAGCTATCAGAATCAGAACTGAGGCCCAGGCCAAACCAAGCTGAACGAGTCTCGGTCAATCGGCAACCGGTAAAAACCGGAGCACCTGTAGCCACTGCAGGAACTGTAGAATTACTGGCAGTATTAGTAGCGCACATTCTCGATCACCACTTAGGAATTAGCTTTAGCAGACAGCGGTAACATTCCCCAGTCGAGCCCAGAACAAACAGCAAACTGTATTTTAATTAGACAATTCAATGGTTCAGCCATTTATGTGGATACTACTTTTGCAAGTGCATTTAATGTTAATACACATATAAGAATACAAACATATATTGTAAGAGCCCCGATACCCGCATTGAAATCGGAACAAGAGGTGGAGGGATCTATTTTGTATATTTCTATGTACTTTGTGAGCGCCAGCAGCTTTGTATTTTCAATGTCCGTTTGGTCTGTATGGCAGGAAAGGCATTTATGTACCCCTATGTATATATGTATGTCTGCATATCCGTATCTTATAGAACAACGTTGGGCAGGCTTCTTGAAAGCCATTGAAAGCGATTTTTTGGCAATGAAATATTTCGTTGCCTCGTTGCGAGCCTTTTATGATAGATATTTTTTACGAGACGATTTTAAGGCCACATATTCACTCGTTCTTCGTGTAGTCGTTCGCTAAACGCTCTTTTCTGAATCTTTTTGTACTCGTTTCCAAATCCGTTTTACGATTATTTTGTTTTTCTGTCGTGTAATGGATACTTTTACTTACAAAACGCTCGTTTTTAAGAGATAAATATTCAATAATGCTTGAAACAATTCTTCCAACATGTTTGGTAAACTATTTCTTGGTAAATTTAAGCTAAAATTGCCAAAAGAATGGAAGCATCAATCCTTTAAATTGCGAATTCTTTTGTATGTGCTTGTTTTGGACCGTTCTATTATAATTTTTTATTTTTTTACTTTATTTTAAATAGTTTATATTGTTTCCTACAGGCGAGGGCTCTTAGTAGAACTACTAGCAGTTCGATCGATTCCAGTGAAAGAGTAGAGTCTCCTCCCTACTTCGATCCACCGATTCCGAATGGCGGGGCTTAACTTATGGTCGGATCTATACGACTATCGCTTGTTGTATCTCTGTGTACCTTTCTCTCATTAAACTGCTTTTATCAACCAAAAAAGAAACAAAAACTGAACGGATTTGCCTTTGGGTAGGCTGTGGTGTGTGCTTGTGCGTGTGCGTGTATGTTTGAGTGTGGATCAAAGTTAATCTCGGTTTGCCGTGTGCTCCGCCCCTGCAGAAAGCGTGCTCGACATGGTCGTCACCTGGAACACGCGCGACAACACCAACGAATCGATCTGCGAGTTCGGCATCGAGGGACTACAGCGACTGGCAAAGGCGCCGCAAGGACCCACAGCCTTTGTGGATGGCGGACCCAAGAAGGCCACACAGTACATCCATCGCGTGAGTATCCCCCGATGTGCCACACACACACGCACACAAACACTCACACACTAACGCAGGTGACGCTGACGAATCTGGAGCCGAATAGCACGTACCGCTACCATTGTGGCAGCCAGCTGGGCTGGTCAGCCACCTACTGGTTCCGTACGCAGTTCAGCCACAGCGACTGGTCGCCCTCGCTGGCCATCTACGGGGACATGGGTGTGGTGAATGCCGCCTCATTGCCGGCCCTGCAGCGGGAGACGCAGCGGGGCATGTACGATGCCGTCATCCATGTAGGCGACTTTGCCTACGACATGTGCAACGAGAACGGGGAGGTGGGCGACGAGTTCATGCGCCAGGTGGAGACAGTGGCCGCCTATGTACCGTACATGGTCTGCGTGGGCAATCACGAGGAGAAGTAGTAAGTGGATATGCTCGGTCAGATGCAGAGCAGATTAATCCCCATCCATCGCTGCAGCAACTTCTCGCACTACATCAACCGGTTTAGCATGCCGGGCGGATCGGAGAATATGTTCTACAGCTTCGACATGGGACCAGTGCACTTTATAGGCTTCAGCACGGAGTTCTACTACTTCACACAGTTCGGTCTTAAGCAGATCGTGATGCAGTACGACTGGCTGGAGAGGGACCTGATCGAGGCGAATCGGCCGGAGAACCGCCAGAAGCGTCCGTGGATCATCACCTTCGGCCATCGTCCCATGTACTGTAGCAATGCCAACAGTGATGACTGCACCAATCACGAGACCGTCGTACGTAAGGGTCTGCCCTTTCTAGAAATGTTCGGCCTGGAGCCGCTCTTCTACAAGTACGGCGTGGACGTGGAGCTGTGGGCCCACGAGCATTGCTACGAGCGGATGTGGCCCATGTACAACTATACGGTGTACAATGGCTCGCTGGCCGAGCCGTATGTGAACCCCGGTGCACCCATTCACATTATTTCGGGGGCTGCTGGTAACCATGAGGGCCGCGAACCCTTCCTCGAGCGCATGCCACCCTGGAGCGCTTTCCACAGCCAGGACTTTGGATATCTGCGTCTGCAGGCCCACAACCGCACCCACCTGTACTTTGAACAGGTATCGGATGACAAGAAGGGCGAGGTCATCGATCACTTCTGGGTGGTCAAGGACAAGCACGGCGCCTACGGGTCTGATCTGTGATTTGATCTCTGCTATAGCTGGAATCTTTGTGATAACTCCCACAAATTTTACACAAGATATTTTAAAGGTTTCTAAATAGTGTTTTTTATTTTTGTAACAACGAAATATATATGTATATGTATGTATGTATATGTATCTGTATTAGCACCAACTATAACTGTCACAATCTAATTATATACCTATCTATGTACCATTTTATCATATGTAATCTCTTTTTATACGATGTATGTACAAATAAAACAAGAACTAAACCAATATTCGGAATCGGAAGAAATCTAACTTTTGAACCAACCTTGCTGATGCGCATGAGATCTTAAGGAAGCTAGTCGTCCTTACTGAGTGGTGCGAAATGGTTGAATGTTACAAGGACAAACTTCAGATACCTTCTTTTTGTCCTTACAAATTTCGAATATTTCAATAAAATAACGCTCAAAAATTATCCAATCCTCGAGAAAATGTATTCATTTATCGGATATAATTATTTGTCTCATAATGGAATCGAAATTGAATAGATTCGAAGTAAACTACAATTTTATTGTTCCGCTAAACTTAATAATACTTAATTAATAATAATACTAATATATGGGCATTTCCACTTTTGCATTTTTCTGTGCATTTTTTTTAAAGATATTTGCATATTTTGGAGAGACTTTTTGGAAGAACCTGAATCATAAATCATCTTTCTTATGGAAGATATGTAAGGGAAACATGGTTATTAAACTACCACAAACTGATTTTAATAGCTAATAAAATGATACATATGTCAATTGGTAAAATTAGTTAAGTTTATCGGGACAGAATTGTATGGAAATGTGTTTTTATAGACTTTTAATTTGTTGGCCTTTCCATTGAAATGCCCATATATACTATGCGGATGTTCAAGAATACGTTCACAAGTTGACTTATTATAGACCATGCTATGAATACTTATAAACTATTTGAATGTACACTATGACTATGAAGACAGCACGATCCGATCCAGTACAAGACGAATCAAGTGTTAGATCAAGACCAATCGGGAAGGCCTTTAGTGCGAGAACAGCTTATGTGTTGCTGCTAACAAAACAAAAAAAAGAGCGAGATAAATAGAGGGGAGCAACAATCTTTCGGTACAGTGGGCACCGCGATTAGCGAACAATAATATAGATTTACTTAAGTCTGAGCCACTGCCTAATAAGTAGGCAATATCTATACGAACACGTCTAGGTATTTATACTAAGCAGCATCTACCATTAGTTACCTTCCCTCTCGTTTTTAATTGAATTCCAACCAAAAACCACACTCTTGCCATTGCATTGCAGACAGCCTGAGGGACATCACGGTGACCTGGTCGACGCGCAGCTCTCCCAACGCCTCGCTGGTGAACTACGCGCGGAATTACGCCAAGGAAAAGCTGATCGTGGTGAAAGGCACCTGGCAGCGCTTCGTGGACGGCGGCCACAAAGCTCGCCAGCAGTACGTGCACAATGTGATACTCAGGGATCTGGAGCCGGACACCCGGTACGAGTACAGCTGCGGCAGTGAGCTGGGCTGGTCGCCGGTGTTCAGCTTTAAGACGCCGCCCGCGGACGAGAACTGGTCGCCATCGCTGGCCATTTTCGGGGACATGGGCAACGAGAATGCCCAGTCACTGGGCCGGCTACAGCAGGATACGGAGCGGGGGATGTACGATGCCATCATCCATGTGGGTGACTTTGCCTACGACATGGACACGGACAATGCGGCCGTGGGCGATGCCTTCATGCGCCAAATCGAGACAGTGTCGGCCTACGTGCCCTATATGGTCTGTCCGGGCAACCACGAGGAGAAGTAGTAAGTGGGCCAGTGGCCTGTACATACCTCTCTATGTTATCGGAGGAACCCATCCTAATCTTCTTTGGTTTTTGGTTTGTCTTGCAGCAACTTCTCGAACTATCGTGCGCGATTCAACATGCCCGGAGAGACGGACAGCCTGTGGTACAGCTTTGATCTGGGTCCCGTGCACTTTGTCTCCTTCTCGACCGAGGTCTACTACTTCCTCAACTATGGCGTCAAACTGCTGACGAAACAGTTCGACTGGCTGGAGCGCGACCTGGCCCAGGCCAATCTGCCCGAGAATCGCGCTAAACGACCCTGGATCATTACGTACGGCCACCGTCCGATGTATTGCAGCGACGAAAAGGAGTACGACTGCGACGGCAAACTAGAGACGTACATCCGCCAGGGCCTGCCCCTAATCAAATGGTTCGGCCTCGAAGATCTCTTCTATAAGCACGGCGTCGACGTGGAGATTTTCGCCCACGAGCACTTCTACACGCGTCTTTGGCCAATCTACGACTTTAAGGTCCACAACGGCAGTGTGCAGCAGCCATACACGAATCCCAAGGCACCCATTCATATCATTACCGGCTCGGCCGGCTGCAAGGAGGAGCGCGAACCATTCTCCAATGATCTGCCCGCATGGAACGCCTTCCACAGCAACGTATGTCAAAAATCCAATAATGCTTGGTAAAACCACTTCAAAATGGGATTCAGTTAGGCATCTTTAGGTCGACCGTCGGAACTGGATGGCCGGATTTTTTTCATCATTCTATATCCTATCCCAAAGTCTATTGGGCAGATGCTTTTAAAGCATTATCTTATTTTCAACGTGCATAAATGTATGTATATAGTAGAGGTCTGATTGAGCAATGCTCAAATGAAGGGAGTAAAATAGTATCGCAGACTCTGAAGCACTGCTTTGCTGTGTGTAAGGTGAAGAAGAAAGAAAAGCAATGAAATAATACACAAAGTGTATAAATGCTTCGGCTATGCCAATTCTTTCATTTCGTTTTGGGCACTATGGATTGAATAACCATATAGGCCTGTCTGTTTGTATGTTTTCTTTCTATTATTTGTAGGTTGAAAGCTTTATACAAATATCGAATCTACATATGTACATATGACGAAGGTGGTTGATGTGACAGACAGACATGTATGCTTCTTAAATAGCCCTTGATTTGGGGATCTATTTTGGGATAGACCTTAGAAGAGCATGATTGGGATATATTTTTGATGTTTCCTTTCCAACTTCACAGCATATACAAGAGTCATTTCAATTTCTGCCCTTTGTAGATATCTCCGGTATAAGAAAACTTTTTTATAGCTTTTTTATGCAATTAATTCGGAATTTGCTGATCGTTTTAGATCAGTAGAGGGTTAAGAG